TGCTTTGCCAGTGTGAAGCCCTGAGTTCAAACCCCAGTCCCACCAAAAAGAAAAGTCACAGAGTGACATCGTACCAGCCCTGAGCTTAGGCCTCGAGAACACGCAGGCCTCTGCCCGCCATCCTGGACTCCTGCTATAGCGTGAGGCCAGTCATGGCTGCCGTGCTGGAGGGCGAGGGAGCCCGGAGAACCCAGGGCTTCCTGGTCCAGCTGACCACAGAGGCACAGGCCCCACCAAGATTAGCCGTGGACCTGCCCGGGCGGCAGGGGCCCTTTGCAAGTGACAAAATGCTGGTTTAGGTCAGTTGTTACCCAGCACTGGCTAACTGATACACTCTTTTCTAGCGCCCCAGCCCGCAGCCACCCAGCCTTGCAGTCGGCGCGTGTCGAGGACTGGAGGACATGTGTGGGGAGGGGCTCCCATCCCACGTCCATGACGGGAGCCCCTGCAGCAGAATGCAGAATGGCTTGTTTTGTTTTGTTTTTTAAATGCTGGGGTTTGAACTCAGGCCTTCACCTTGAGCCGCTCCACCAGCCCTTTTCTGTGATGTTTTTTTTTTGAGATAGGGTCTCACAAACTGTTTCCCCAGGCTGACTTTAAGCCTCGATCCTCCTGATCTCTCTGTCCTGAGTAGCTGGGATTACAGGCGTGAGCCGCTGCACCCAGCTGTGTATTTTGCTTTTGACACAGGGCCTCGCTACCTTTGCTGCTGCTGGCCTCGAACCCTTCTCCTGCCTCCACTCCTGAGTAGCTGGGATTTCAGGACACTGCAGGAGCTCCTGGGCCGGAAGGCCTCGGCGCCAGCCTGGGGCTACGGGAGCCACGTAGGGAAGTGAGCGGCCCAAACAGGACAGGTCAGATCTGGGCTGTCAGCGTGGCTCAAGTGGTAGAGCACCTGCCTAGCTAGCCTGAAGTCCTGAGTTCAAATCCCAGTTCTGCCAGGAAAAAAAGTGATCATGGAATCCAGGGGCGAGGAAAAGTGGGTGTCATGGAGCCTGGGGCCATCAGGCCTAGCAGGTAATGTCACATGGTGTGCCCCTAAAAGGCCATGTGCTGGAAGCAGGGTCCCCAGTGTGGCAGTTGAAGGTGACTAGGTCATGGGGCTCCCCTCAAGAATGGACGAATGCTGGCCTGGAAGGGTGGAGGATCCCAGCCCCTCCCCGTGCTCGCTCTCTCGCTCTCGCTCTCTCTCTCCCCCCTCACTCACACGCACGCACATCCTCTGCACACAGCTGCCGCGCTGTCTGTCTTTCCACCATGTGACACGGCCAAGGGGCTGGGCTATGCTGACTGGACGTCCACCCACCAGAACTGTAAGCTGGAAAACCTCTTTGCTTTGTAAGTCACCCGGCCTCAGGCGGTCACGAGTGGTGTCCTCGGCTGTCCTGATGGGCTGAGCAGACGGCAGGGCCTGCAGGGCCAGGGCTCAGGTTGGAGTCCAGGCGGGACGTGGAGAGCCGGTGTCCTGGGGTGCTGAGCGAAGCCAGAGAAGAGAACAAGGTCGGGCAGTGTGACGTGACGTCGGGGATAACGAGGAAGCGGGAGGGGAAGAGAAAAGCCGGAAGCTCCGTGGGGGGCTCCACTTCACAGGCCAGCACTCAGGGCCCAGCTAAGTGTGCTGGGGACACAGCCGCCTGCCAGTGTGGGGTGGGACCATGTGACACAAAGGCGGTGTTGGAAGCAGCCCACGGTCTGACCACAAAAGCAGATCTGCCCTGGGCCATCTGTCAGTGCCAGTGTGCCCTGCCTGTCCCCTGTCCTGTGGCCCAGGTCCTGCCTCTGGCCTCCCCTCCCTCTCCCCTGGGATCTGCCCTGGGCAGTCCCCAGCACGACCTGTGGTGCTGCTCGGCCACCTCGTACTCAGGACGTACCCCGCCTCACTTCCTGGTCACAGACGGCTCACACACTGAGACCCCGACACCCGTCCTCCTCCCCGTGTCCCTTTCTGATGTCCACGTGCCCCCTCTCCCTCCAGGTCCAGGAAAGGCTATGACTTCCCAGGGACCGTGTCAGGGTCGGGTCCTGTCCTGCCTCTTCCTCCTCCCTCTGCTGCACCTGTCACCCACTCCTCGGGTGTGTCACACAGCATCGTCCCCTGGGCTCTGGTGCGTTTCAGCCGTGTGTTTTCTGTGTTCTTAGGAACTCAGTCACCTGCATGTGACACCCAGCAGGGAATCGGAAAACATGGTGGCACTGAATGACCTGGGCCTCGGTGCCTCCCAGGCCCCCAAAACCAGCCTCCCACATGTGCCTCCAGAAGGCACTTCTGCAGCCAGCGGACTTCTCATCCCCACAGGCGTGGCCAAAAAGTCCCCAAGCCTCCACCACCGCTGGCCGCCACTCCCACCGAGAAAGTCCCCTGCCCTGTCACCACCCAGCTCCCACCCCGCCCCACGATTTCCATGAGCAGCTTGGCCACAGGGGGGCCACGGGGTCCCAGTGCCGCCTGTTCCACAAAGGACACCCTGCCCACTGCTCTGGGCTCTGGGAAGGCCAGGAGCACGGGCACGACAGCCTCCGCAGCTCCACCCCACGGTGGAGAGCCAAGGGCCGGCGGTGTGTGCGAGACACCGCTCTCGAGGGAGCCGGCCCAGTGCCGTGAGAGGTGAGGATTTTAGTCCCTCGTAACCCAGGCGCCTCTTAAGGCCCCACCTCCTGAGCCTGCCAGTGACATCTGAAGCTGTGCCCTTGGAAGGAACAAACCATGTTCAAAGCACGGCAGCGCTGTCCCCTGAACCCACACAGGTCTCTTGAGCAGCGTTTGTTGATGACTGAAATGGGCGTTTTCACTGGAGGGAAGTCTGCCCGGGAAGGGACGCCCCCCTCCATGGGAAACGAGGGCTGCATGGGAGAAGCTCTTGCCAGCTCGGGCCTCTTTCCCCAGGCTTCTCGCCTTGGGTCTCTGCCTCAGATCACTTTTTTCTTTTGTGTGGTACTGGTCTTTGAACTCAGGGCTCTCGCTTGCCACAAAAGTGCTCTCCCACTTGAGCCACGCCCCAGCCAAAATCCTTTAGTTATTTCTCAGACAGGGTCTCTCATTCTGCCTCAGGCCAGCCTTGGACCACAGTCCTACTTCCATCTCCTGTGTAGCTGAGACTACAGAAATACTCCACCATGCCGAGTTTTTTTTGTTGAAATGGGGTCTTAACTTTTGACAGGGCTAGCCTTGAACCATGAGCATCCTGATCTCTGTCTCCCAAGTAACTGGGATGGCATGCAACTGGCTTCAGGTCACTCCTGGGACAATGCACCACAGGAGGGCTGTGGCCAAGTGTGAGGCCTGTGTGGAGGCTGAGCTGCCCATCTGAACGCAGGACCATGGGAGCAGGTGGCCATGGGCAGTGGACGCTCAGACACCTGAATGGCAGACCCAGAGGTGCCCAGCGCCAGGAAGGGACAGGGCCGGTCCCCTGGGGGCCTGCCTGGGTCCCCAGCACTCCTGCTGGGCTCTGATCAGCATCCTCTGGTGGTCACTAGACACCCAAAGAGAGGAGAAACCGGTCTGTCTGTTCAAGGCCAGCCTGGGCAAATACTTCTAGAGGCCCCATCCCCAAAACAGCCAGAGCAAAATGGACCAGATGTGGTTCAAGGAGTAGAGCACTCGCTTTGCAAGTGAGAAGCCCTGAGTTCAAATCCCAGTCCCACCAATCCGTCTGCAGAGATCATGACCTTTCAGAGAAAACCCTAGACTACCAGAGACCCCAAGGTGCGGGGGTCACTGGTGCAGGATGCAGACGGGACACGCCGAGACCAGCTGTGTCCACATGTGCACAGCTGATCCTGGTCAGTTTCTGGAGGCAGCACACCCCAGGCGCTGGGCCGGGTGCGGAAGTCAGCTGGCACCGGCGGTCTCTCGGTCTCGGTCTCTCTCTCCCTGCCCCTCCCCACCACGATGGACGGCACTGACACCAAACCGCGAACCACAACGACTCCTTCCTCCCTCGCTTCACTCACGTTGGGTTTTTATCACGGCTACCTGAGAGATCGGTTCGTAATGGCGTCACGAATAAAGAACTTGGAGCCATTTCACTCTGAGGTGAAAGCCCCGCGCGGCAACTGAGACCTGGAGAAGGAAACGGTGACAAATCGTGTCATCACAACCCAGGGTGAGAGCTGGAGGTCCAAATCAGCTCGAATGGCCACACTGACCACATGACCCATGGGCTTAATCAAATTTCTATCAAAACCCTATGGCATTCGCACAGCAACAGGAGAAAAATCCGACGGTTCATACAGCCACGAAAAGCCCCAAAGAGCGAAGGCCCCGCCCGGGTGACGCGTCCTGGTGACCCAGTTTACCGTAGCGCGCCGATCAGGACATTGACCAGGAGCAGCCACACGGTGCCAGCTAAGACTAATCAAAACAAGCCCCCAACAGGAGGGACACCTGTAGGGGACCGGGACATCATGAGCAAAAGAACGAACGAGGCCCTCATGTCACGCCACCCACAAAACTAACCTGGAGCGGATTAAAGACGCCGGTGCCAGTTGCTGTGTGTAGAAAACAAGCCACTGCTTTAATGTACCTCCAAGTGTAGGAATGTTGGCTCTGGTTTGGCGGCACTGGGATTTGAACTCAAGGCCTCACACTCGCTGGGCGGGTGCTCTAAGCACTTGAGCCTCTCCACCAGCCCTTTCTGCGTTAGTTTTTTCCAAGATAGGGTCTTGGGAATTATTTTCCCAGGCTGGCATTGAACCACGATCCTCCCCATCTCTGCCTCCTGAGTAGCTAGGATTACAGATGGGAACCACCAGCGCTAGCTTGTTTTGATGTTTTGAGATTTGAGCTGGGGTCTTATTATGTATCTCAGGCTGGCCTTTTTTTTTTTTTTTTTTTTTTGGTAGTACTGGGGCTTGAACTCAGGGCCTTCACCTTGAGCCACTCCACCAGCCCTATTTTTGTGAAGGGTTCTTTGACATAGGGTCTCAAGAACTATTTTCCCGGGCTGGCTTTGAACTGCAGTCCTCCTGATCTCTGCCTCCTGAGGAGCTAGGGTTACAGGCCTGAGCCACCGGCACCCAGCTCAGACTGGCCTTGAACTCGCAATCCTCCAGTCTCAGCATCCTGAGGGCTGGGATTACAGGCATGGCAACCACGCCCAGCTTAATATGTGGGAGCTCGATCCACTCCTGGAGGGTCTTGAGAACCAGCCTGGATGAAGCCCTCGGGACAGCAGAGGCTGGAGAAGGCCGCCAGCAGCATAGCCTCAGTAGCAGTCAGCCTCATTCTCCAGCATGCCCACTGTGGCCAGCATGTCCTGCAGGAGGGACTGCAGACTCTTCTCCACGTGCTCACTGCCCTGGGCCAGCCGGCTCTGCAGGCCCTCCAGGTCCATGGACCTCAGGATGGCCAGCACGGCCTCAGGCTCCATGTCCCCCAGGGGCTGGCCCTGCTCACCCGCCCGCCACCTCTGCAGGGCAGCTTCCACAGAGGACAAGTCGGGGCTGTCCCCCACCTCCCGCAGGCCACCACAGGCATCGATCTGGTCCCTGAGGTACAGCAGGAGGTCACAGGCCTTCTGGGCCACAGGCCGGTCACAGTCGAGCAAAGCATGAAAGGCGAAGTCCAGAAGCCGCAGGCGGCACAGAGTCCTTAGCACCGTGGGGAGCCGGTCAGCTGGGGTGACTGTGGGCAGGGCCACTGCGTAGGAACAGCAGGGCTGCCCCAAGGTCTGGGCCAGGAACACCTGCGCCAGCTCCAGGCCCTGCACCCGGACCTCCCAGTCCAGGTCCCTGCTCACTGCCTGGAGTACGGTGGCCACAAACTGCTCTGTGTCCTGGGCCACGCCAGCATGGCCGTCCTTCAGCCACTCAGTGAGGACCTGCACAACAGCCCTTCGCGGGAAGCCCTCCGAGTCTGTGGACAGGATGTGCAGGAGGTCCCCGAGCAGGTCCTGTGGGTAGTGCACCAGAAAGGTCAGCCGCTCGGGAAGGTGGGACCCAGGGGACATGAGCCCGTGGTCATCCAGGCTCAGGCCACCTGCTGTTCTGGCCCCTTCCTGTGACAGAGTGCCACACTGCCCTGAGCCCATCCCCCAGGTGGGGCAGTGTCTGAGAGAGGGTGTTGGGAAGCCCACAGCACCATGGATGACTACACCGGGATCCTAGTGGTCACTCCTGCCTGCACTGCCCCAGGAGTCACCCAGCCCCCAGGCCTGCAGACCAACAGCCACGGCTGCCCGGTGTGGACGCACAGCCACGTGTACCTGCTGGGCCTGAAGGTGCTCAGAGCCCTTGGGGGCGGCCTGCAGGCCCCGGCTAGACAGCTGCCCGGTGGCGGCCACCGCACTTGCTCGGACATAGCTCTCAGGGTCTTGGAGCAACTGCCGGGCGAGCGCCGGTGCCTCTGATGCCAGGAGCACCTGTCTGAAGTCAGCCTGTCCTGGGGTGAAACAGCCACGCAGCCGTGACCAAGGACTCCTGAGGGCAGGCTAGGCACCCCAGGGTCCCGGAGCTGTGGGGACGTTGCTTGCCTGGCACTTACCTCCCCAGTGTCGGCACAGCTGCGTCAGGAACTCCAGGCCGAGTCTCTCACCTCCCAGCCGGGGCTGCACAGGCGCTTCTGCAGCACAGTGAACAGCTCTGGGCCAGGAAGGGGTGGTCAGAGTGGCCTCGGGGCTTGCCTCGCCGGCCCCTCCGCCTCTGTCCGCCTCCGCCCCTGCACTGTGGCTTCGCACACCCCTGTGAGGGGCTGGGTTACCTCTGAGGAACAGCAGGGTGTGGGGGCTGAGGTTGGAGCAGCCAGCTGACGTGGATGAGCTCAGGAGCCACCGGAGCGTGGCCTGGAAGGCTTTCTTCAGGACCTAGAGCGAGCACGGCGGGCTGTAGGACAGGAAGGGCCAGCCACCGCCTACCCCGTCACAGCTCCTGTGCAGCCCCTGCCTGGAGCAGAAGCCTGAGCCAGCACAGGACTCTTTTCAGACTGTGGGACGGAGGGGCTGCCCTCCTCAGAAACCCTGCCTGGAGATGGCTTCGGTGTCATGACACACCAAGCCACTCAGGGCCCCATGTAGCCCCAAGAATCCTGGCATTGTCTGGCCTCGTGAGACAGGCATGCCCGCAGAAACCGATTCTGAGCCAGGCGTGGTGGCACAAGCTGTCATCCCGGTATACGGGAGACTGATAAGAGAATCCCAAGTTCAAGGCCAGCCTGGGCAACATAGCAAGACCCTGCATCAAAAAAATAAAAAAACAAAACAAAACGGAACCCCGAACAGAAGGGCCACCTTCCCTCATCAAGAATTCCCTGTGGTAGATGGCAGAGTGGCTCACGTGGTAAACGCCTGCCTAGCAAGCAGGAAGCCCTGAGTTCAAACCCTATTACCACCAAAAAAAGGAAAAAAATCCCAGAATCCGGCGTGGGAAGACTGTCTTCTCCCTCACTCACCGCGGCCCTTCCAACCCCTGGCACGTTAGCTTCACCAACATGGACCTGGGGCCCAGAGGCCACATGGCCACCTGCCCTCAAATGTCACTGTCAGCAGCAGCTCTGCGCCCCGCTGGAAGACACCCTCCAACCCCCAGCCCTGTCCCTGTACCGTGGGGCTGGAGTCGGGGCTCTCCAGGTACTCCAAAAGAACAGCAAACACCTGCGTCACCAAGTCTTGGGGGCCTGTGACAGATGTGAACAGACAAGTCACCCCGACCTGCCCAGAGCCCCCACCTGACAAGGAACGTGACATCCAGGACTTCTGAGTGTGAGGCCCCCCAGAGAAGTGCACAGGACAGCCGTCCCTGGAAGCCTCTGAGCAGAGAGGAAAGGGACTCCAGTCACCCAACAAGGTCATGCAAGAGGAAACATTGTCACTCACTTGTCCCCTGAGACAGCGTCCCCAGAAAGTCGAGGGCTGCTCGCTGGACACGGACACAGCCTGCAAAGGTTGCACAGAGGCGAGCACCCACACTGGAGCTAGGGGCCACCGAGCCACGGCAGAGCCGCAGTACAGTCACCGCAGCACTCAGCAGGGGCTCTTGGGGCCAGGGCGCAGGGCGCTGGGGCTGAGGGGAGAACAGAGGGTCAGTCGAGGCCATGGGTCCTGCTGTGTGTGGGCACGACAGGGCCACCGCACCTACCAGAGGGTGCAGCTCCTCCAGGTGTGCCAAGGTCTGGCACAGGACCCCCACACAGGCCGCCTTGGAGGACAGGAGAGCATCCACCGTCAGAGAGCTGCCCTCAGTCCTGTCCAGCCAGCCTAGAGGCCAAATGCAACGTCTCTCTTGTAGAGGGGGTGGTTCAAAGCCAAGGCCAGGGCCCGTCTGGCTCCGCCCTGGCCACCTTCGCTCTCAGGGGAGGCCTGGGTGGACCGAAGCTCGGGCTCTGCTGCTCATCTTGCCTGTGGCCCAGGTGGGGGTGTGAGGGTCCCCTCCCAACCCCATATGCCATACCTGGGGGGCCAGGGGCCTGGGCGGTGGCTTTCAGAACACAGGCCAGGGGCTGCAGGAGGACTCCGAGGGCCTGAGCCCTCAGTGCCTGGGGACTGGAGAGAAGACACAGGTGTGGCAGGCTGCTCACATTCCTTAGCATCCCCAGGGACCAGGGCACCCCTTGAGAAAGTCACTGACCAGGGAACTCCATGGGTATGGGACAAGCTTGACCAAGGCATGTGGGGCCGGCCCTGGCATCCTTAGGAGCTGCTGGGCTTCAGATGCCCACTCAGGGCTGCTTGCACCACCCAGAGGGACTGTGCTACTCGGGCAACAGGGAGTCCCAGCCTCTGGGAGCCGTGCCCAGGCACCCCATCTCTGCTCAGTGACCTGAGATGTCCGTCTCACGTTCTGCAGACCTCCTGCCCCAGTGTTGGGGCCGCAGGGTGAGGGAGGTGACACTAGCTCAGTGTATGCTGCGAGCAGAATGCCAATCCCTCACTACCCCGTGCCGCTCTTTCCAGCAGCCCCGCAGGAAGGGTCCTGAGGCCCCTTCTGCGCCTAGAATCTGCGGGCCTTCTGCACCCCTATGCCCACCCTGTGGTGCACCCCTCACAGGAGGAAGGCAGAGCACAGCTGAAGGGTCAGGTGTGAACTCATCCGCCAGAGCAGAGCAGCTCCAGGATCAGCATTATCTCTGGGGATCCCCAAAGCTCTTGTTTGAGCCACAGCAAACAGTGCTGCTGCCAGCCTGCGCCAACACCTGTGTCTGCCCAGTTGGCCCAGCTGTCTCCCGCCTGACTTCTGGGCCCTAGTCCCAAGCTGTGGATTTCCAATCACAGCCCCCCGTTCTCACGCCTGGCACCTGTGAGCCTGACCGTACCAGTGCTGGAGTTTCAGCATCCCCACAGCCAGAGGCCCGACCTGCAGGGGGCTCAGACAGTTCAGAGCCTCGGTCACTGTCCCCCACAGGCCGCAGTCGGCAGAACTGAACACAGGAGACCTAAACAGAGGACCACAGAGACCACTGCTCCCCCATCCGCAGATAACCTCCGTGCCCGGAGGGGCTGCCACGGCCCCAACCAGAGGCACCCAGCCCTGTAATGGGCCTTGCCAGTGACAAAGGTAGCAGGGTCCTCCCCGGCGGTACCTCCCCTCCAATCAGCTTCTTGGCTGCCAGGGAACAGCTGTTGAGACACCCTGGGAGAGCACTGCTCACCCAGCCCCCCGCCAGCCATGCCCCAGGGACCTGACCGGGCCACGTTGAGAAGAAGGTCCACGAGCGAGTGTGCGGCAGGGATGGTGGCTCTTTCAAGTAGGCGGGCCACGAGGGGACACAACTGCTCCCAGAGGACCTCTGTCCAGGGGCTGTGGCAGCGCCCAAATGTGGTGGTCAGGACATTCAGGGCCTGAGTGACCTGCGGGGCACCTGTGGCACACAAGGACTCTTCCAAGTGGCCCACAATCTTCCAGGCACACATGGGCCAGGCACCACCCTGTAGGCAGGGGTACCCCGCAGCTTCACCCTGCATGGACAAAGCCAGGATGTGCACCAGGAGCTGACTGCTGGCTGAGGCCACAAACAGGCTGGGGTCCCCTTGTAGGGAGAAGATGGTGTCAATGGCACCTGGAGAGGGAAGGAGCAAATGCAAAAGGGGGTCAACCCAAATAGAGAAGAGGAAGAGAACCTGAACCCAAACTTCAGTGCCCAGACAAAGAGCCTGACCAGGTGGCCCGCAGGAGGCACTGTCGAGCCCCCACACTGGACTGCAGAAAGCTGGCAGGAAGCCGCAGGGGTGAGCGGTGGCATGACTGTATTTGGAACCCCCAGCAGATTCTGCTCCCCGCGATTTGCTTCAAAGACTGACACTTGGCCCCTGGTCTGTAAGCAACTCAGCAGGTGGCCCCAGTTCCTGAGGCTGGGCTAGGGACCAGGGACATGACAACCCCAGGGTTTCTGTGTATGCGGCCGGGCAACACGGCCATTCCCACGGGGCCCTGCAGTTGGGTCAGGACAGGGAGAAGGTGCACTCACCGCTGTCGGCCAGGAACTGCAGGGCGCTGGGGTGCTGTGCCAGGGAGCGCAGGCCCTGGATCCAGCCACTACGCACAGTGGGGACGTTCCAGGCCACCCAACAGAGGGGACCCACCTCCCCAAAGAGCCCCAGCAGTAACTCGCCCTGCTGGAAAGCAAAAAGAGAAGCGGAGCCTGGGGCGGGGTGTACAGGGGTCCAGGGTAGACGGAGACAGGTTTTCTGTTTCCCATGACTGGCCAAAGCCTTGAGTCAGGACACCTTCACACCAAGTGGCCAGAAAACCGTGTTCTGGGAGTGTGAATGGGGCTTAGCTCCAGTCAGGGGTGGGGTGGGAGCTTTTGGGGAAGGAAGAACCCAAATTTTTTATTTGTTTGTGACAGGGTCTCACTGAGCAGCCTATAGTGGTCTCGAACTTGCTATCCTCCTGCCTCAACCGCTGAGTGTTGGGATTATAGGTGGGAACAACCATGCCCAGGAGAATGGGTATCAGTGAGAGTCTCTCCCTCCTCTTGAGAAGCCCTGCCCCAAACACCACCAACAGCTTCTGCACACTGCCTGTCACCGGGACCTGAGCTCCAGAAGCTACTGCTGCCTCTCCACAGCCGCCTGAGCTCCTGACCTGTGCCCACCCTCCTCTTCCAGGTGTCCACCCCAACTTCCTCAAACTTCCTAGAAAGGAAGCAGAAAACATTTCACATACCGCACATCCTGGTGTTTGGGGAGGAGGGACCAGGGCCTTGGGACACTGCTCCAAGTCTATGGCACCCCAGGGCCCTCATTTTTCTTTTGGTCCTTTTCTATAAATCCAGCTCTGGCACCACTGTGGAGCCATGTCTGTGCCTGGACCCCACTTTAGGCCCAAGACGCCCACCCCAACTGAAGGGGTAGGGCTCTTGGTGACTTGCAGGGGACCCCCTTCGTCAGAGTCCTACTCCTTCCTCGGCACTACTCATAGGGGTGCCCAGCCTGTCCCCAGTCCAACACTGTCCCTGCAGACTGTTCAGTAGTGAGCAGCTGGCTGATGGCGCCAGACCACAGCACAGAGGTGGGAAGAAGGTCAAGGGGGTCCACCCCGTGCTCAGTCCAGGCCTCTCCACAGGCTGGGTCCCTGCACAAAACAGGCTGGGCACTATTGGATCACGCCTGTAATCCTAGCTACTTGGGAAGCTGAGACTGGGAGGCTTGCAGTTTGAGGCCAGCCAGGGCAAACAGTTTGGGAGATCCCATCCAAAATAATCAGAGCAAAAAGGACTGGAGGTGTGGCTCATGTGGTAGAGCACCTGCTTTGCAAGTGTGAAGCCCTGAGTTCAAATCCTGGTCCCAGAAAAAAAAAAAAAAGTGGGGGAGGACCAGCAATCACAGCCCGAAGGTTCTCAGCAGCCTTTCAGGTCTCCAGCCACCACGGGTCTTGAGAAGGAGGAAGAGGAGACAGAGAAGGAGCTGGGCGAGCAACAGGAAGTATCCAGGAGATCAGAGACTGAGAACAGTCACGGTGGTGACTGAGGACAGGGGAGGCAGCTCAGTAATAAGGGTTTAATTTTTTTTTTTTGGTGGCACTGGGGTTTGAACTCAGGGCCTCATGCTTGCTAGGCAGGCGCGCTACTACTTGAGCCACTCCGCCAGCCCTGAAGGTTTAAGACTGCTTCAACAAAGCCATAAAACCCTGAAGGAAAAAACCGAAGATGACTCCGCAAGATGGAAGGCCTCCCTTGTTCATGGACTGGCAGGATTAATATTGTCAAAATGTCTATACTACCAAGATCTTCTGAGACCCGGGCTTGAGGGAGCTGCAAATGCTTCAGGGTCCATCCTTGGGGGCCTCAAAGTAGGAGGCCCAGGCTCACCTGGAGGTACTGGAAGCAGTCTTCCTGGGCAGCAAACATCCCAGCGAGGCGCAGGGAAAAGGAGAGGACCCTGGAGCTCACATCCTGTGACTTCAGCACATGTGACAGCAGCTCCACCAAGGACGGGTTCTCCTGCAGCAGGAGGAGGCTGGGCTCTGTGGACACACGTGCAGCGCAGGAGGGTGGTGACCAAGGAAGGTGGTGCCTCCCGGAGGCTGCTGGACTGAGCTGTCAGACTGGGAAGGATTCTTTGGCTGATTAAGAGGATGAAGACTGAGTTTAAACCTCACCCACAGGCAAAGGGCACGACAAGGAGCACGAGCAGCCCACAACCCTGAAAAAATGCTTTGACCCACTGTCTATGAGAAAGAAACACAGCCAGGTATGACGACCACACCTGTGATCACAGCACTCAGGAGGCAGAAGGAGGATCGTGAGTTCAAGGCCAGCCTAGGCAACAAATCCAGACTCTGTCTCAAAAAAAAGTAAAACAAGACTGAGTGTGGTGGCTCACACCTATAATCCTAGCTACTGAGGAGGTGGAGATTGGAAGAATCATGGTTGGAGGCCAATCTAGGCAAAATTTTGCGAGGCCTCATCTCACCCAGTGGCTGGATAGGTTGCTGCGTGCCTGTCATCCCAGCTATGCAGGGAAGTGTAAATAGGAGACTTGCAGTCCAGGTCAGCCCGAGCATAAAGTGAGACCCTATCTCAAAAATAACCAGAGCAAAAAGGGCAGGGAGCGTGGCTCAAGAGGCAGAGTGCCCGCCCAGCAAGTGCTAGGCCCTGAGTTCAAACCTCAGTACTGCCAAAAAAAGAAAGAACAAAAGAAAAGCTGATACTGTGACAGTGATGCTAGACAAAACAGACAACAGAGTGAGAAGCAGGACTGGTATCAAAGAGTCACTGTTGAGCTTGGTGTGGTGGCACGCCTGTGATCCAAAGCAGGTCATGAGTTCAAAGCCAGCTTGGGCTACAAACTGAGACCTTGTCTCTAAAAACCAGAAGAAAGGAAATATGTGAAATTTCTGGAACTAAACTGCAAAAGCACTACATAGTAAAACCCACAGGATGCACCTATGGTGAGTCTCGAGATATGTAGCCTCAGAATGCCAGACCGACCTCAAAGTGCAATTCAAAACAGGAACGTAACACAGCGAGCCAGAGGAAGGAAGAAAAAGCAGAAATGGATGACGTGGAATCTGTCACCAGGCCATTATCAGCTGTAGCACAAAGTGTTCACATGCAGTACTGCTGATGACAAGGAGACCCGGCACAGCTCTGTTTATGACCACAAAAAACTGAAACACGAACATCCCCCGGTACGGTGCGGTCGGCTCATAGCAGGTTACACATAGTGGACAACCCACGAGTTCCTAGGAAAAGCACTCACTCCCACAACGAGGGAGAAAAAACAAGAATGTAAACTGAGTTTGTGGTAGATCTCGTTTCATCAGGAAAACACAGTCCTGCTGCATGTTGTGAAAAACAGCGGAAGGAAACAAAAGCACTTTCCTCTTTACTCCTTCGTGTTGCTCAAGTTTTAAGGAATATTCTTGAGCTGGAGGCGTGGCTCAAGTGGTAGAGCGTCTGCCTAACAAGCACGAGGTTGGGGGTTCAAACCCCAGTACTGCCAAGAAAATAAAAAAGAATATTCGGCACTTTCATAATCAAAAGGAAAACAAATCTGCTGAGTGCTGTGCCTCACATCTATAATCCCAGCTACTCAGGAGGATTGTGCAAGTGAAGGCCAGCTCAGGCAAAAAAAAAAAAAGAAAAAAAAGTTAGCAAGAAAGACGCCCATCTCAGTCAAAAGCCAGCATGGTGACAGGCGGAAGTAGAAGGGTCATTGTGCAAGGCCTGAGCAGGCACAACAGGAGAGACCCGGCCTGAAAAATAACCTGCTCAAGAAAGGCAGAGACACTCAACCCGAAAGCGCCTGCCCGGCAAGTGCAAGGCTGAGCTTAAATCCCAATGCCGCCAAAACCATTTTTAAGTAGAAGGAAGAAAACAAATTTGACTCAAGATCAACAAAATGCAACAAAGAATGTCAACCTCAGATTCTACTGGCCATTGCCTTGGACCCCAGCTGGACTTGTCCCCAGTCAGCCAGAGCCTCTACCAAGCGAAGCAAAGATACAGATGGACGGTGAGCCCTGGGCACGCTGTCCCACGGTCTCCTCCCTCCTCTGGCTTTACCTGTCTCGGTCAGTGTTTTAAACCAGTCCAGCAGTTTCTCCAAACAGGTGTCATCTGCTACCGGCTGCCTGGGATCTGCTAGCACAGCACAGAGAGCAGGGAGAAGCTGGGAGCACTCAGGGTCCATGATCAGCCAGGGGACCCTGCAGAGCAAAGAGAGGGGAACTTCATGGCCAGCTCCAGTCCTAGGCAGCCCACGGTGTCTGCTAGGCCCGTGCTGGGAGGGGGAAGAGGCCCTAGAATTTTTGCCAAAGACCAGAGAGCTCTGAATGGCCCCCACGTACGCAGGGCTCAGTGTGGGGGGAGGCTGGGTGGCCAAGAGTATGGGACGGCCAGGCGCCAGTGCTCACACCTATATAGAATCCCTTGGAGGCTAGATCAGGAGGATCAAATTTGAGCCCAGCCCAGGCAAATAATTCGCTAGACACCATCTCCAAAATAAACAGAGCAAAACCGACTGAAGTGCGGCTCAAGTGGCAAGCTTTGCAAGTGCAAAGCCCTGAGTTCGAACCCCATCCCCCATCAAAAAAAAAAAAAAAAGCATGCAAGGCCCCTCAGAAGTCCTGGGGGCCATGCTGAAGGAAGGGACAGATGACACAGGGACACAGCTGGGTACTGACGGACCTGCAAAGTGGGCCATGCTCAGGGATAGCTGGGAGCCCTGGGGTCGGCCATGTGGCTGGCGAATGGCTAGCAGGTGCACAGGGTCAGTGGGGACGGCGTGTAACAGCCCCGCAGCCGGCAGACGGGAAGGTGTCTGTCCCTCCCGGACCGGGGTGTGCACTAAGTGTCCCGTCCGGGAAGTGACCACGGGTGTCTGGGCCCTGCGAGGCTTGGTCAGGGCTGGAGCTACATCGGGATAAAATTCGAGAAGTTCTGGGTTCGAATCCCACCCCAGCTCGGCAGTCGTTCCTTCGCCGCGGGCGCCAGGCCTTCCCCCAACGACGGTCCTGAAGGGACCCGAGGCGGGGACTGAGCCTGGGCCCGTGCACGCCCGTCCCGGGACTGCTCGGGTCGCCCGCCCTCTCCACTAGGGTCCGCACTCTGTCCGCCCGCACCCACAACCGAAACCACCCCGCCGCGCGGGCCTCACCCGCTCAGGTTCCATGCGTCCGCCTCAAGCTCCGCCCCACGCTGCCCCGGGCCCCGCCCGCGACGCTGCCCCGGGCCCCGCCCGCGACGCTGCCCCGCGCCCCGCCCGCGACGCTGCCCCGGACCCCGCCCACGACGCTGCCCCGGGCCCCGCCCGCGACGCTGCCTCAGACCCCGCCCACGACGCTGCCTCAGACCCCGCCCACGACGCTGCCCCGGGCCCCGCCCACGACGCTGCCTCGGACCCCGCCCACGACGCTGCCCCAGGCCCCGCCCACCAGTTTCTTCCCAAGCCGCCTCAAGCCCTGTCCCAACCCCCAGCCTCAGGCCCCATCCCAAGTACCTACTTCAGACCCCGCCCACAACGCTGGCTCAGGCCCCGCCTCACGCCCCCACAGATTACGTCCTAACCCTCCTCAGGCCACGCCCCCAAGTTTCTGACACAGGCCCCGCCCCGCGCCACCGCCGCAATCCCGGCTGCACGACGCTGCCTCAGGCCACGCCCCACGCCGCCGCCGTCAGTCCCGCCCCACGCTGCCCCTCGCTGCCCCACGCCCCGCCCCACGCTGCCCCACGCCCCGCCCCTCGCTGCCCCACGCCCCGCCCCTCGCTGCCCCACGCCCCGCCCCTCGCTGCCTGCTGTCTCTCCCTAGGACTCTGCCACCTGCTGGGCCCACGGGAGAATGGAGGGCGGTGACAGCGGGCTTGGGGAACGTCGATGGCTCTCGGGACCCAGCTCTGCTCGCCTGGAAGCCGGGGAAAGGCCGGAACCTGGAGCGTCGCTCGGACCTGTCGCGGGCAGCGGGCGCACCTGCATGTGACTGTCCCTTAAGGCGCGTGGGCTCCCGGGCCGTAGTTCTGTCTCGGGCTCCTCGTGGCCGTCTGTTCTCAGCCCTGGGTCACCTGTCCTCTTCCCCCTCCCTCGTTGTCCCCGTCGTTTCCGCCCGCTGCTTTCTGGAACTCGTGTTTGTTCCTTCAATCCTCCTCTTTCCTCGCATTTCCCACTGCTCCCGCGTGGGTGGGATTACAGCTGTACCGCTCCAGGCCTGGCTAGCCTGCGAAATGAGGTGTCCATAAGCCTCACGCTTCGGTCCTCCCAATGTCCGTGGGGAGGCAGCCATGAGCCACCACCCACGTAGACATCGCCTGTCCTCGTAGTTAAGTGACCATAAAATGCAGCAGGAACAGGGGACAGAGGCAGGTGGCCTTGCAGGCCTGTGTGCACAGGGAGGTGACAGTTGTTGCCGACTTCGCTGGACCACGGGACACACGATGGGCAGGCACGCGCTCCATGTTTTTATGGGCCAAGGGTGATTCTCCGAGGTGCAGCCTTCCAAGAGCTCCCCGATCTGGGGGACACTGTGTTCCTCACCCCTGCTCTGCTACACTCACCCCCTTTACTTTTTAATTGCGCCCTAGCACTGGAACCGCACCCCCAGCCCTTTTTGTGTTGGTTACTATTTTTCAAAGCCGGCTCTCTACCTCTTGAGCCACACTTCCACTCCATTCTGCCCTGGTTACTTTGCAGATGGGGTCTCCAGAACTATTTCCCAGGCTGGGCTCAAACTTCGATCCTCCCCATCTCAGCCTCCCAAACGGGAAGGATTACAGGAGTGAGCCATTAGTTATTTTGGAGGCAGGGTCTCGCTTCATGCACGAACCTACCTGGGCCACGATCATCCTATTTGTGCTTCCTCTCCTAGCTGGGATTACAGGTGCACCCACTGCGCCCAGATTTTTGGATGAGTGTGTTGGGGGGAGGGGTCTGGCAAGCTATTTTTCCAGACTGGCCTCGAACCGCGAGCTTCCTAATCACAGCCTCCCAAGTCGCTGAGACTACAGACGTGAGTCCCTGGCACTCGGCTTTTTTTTTTTTTTTTTTTTACAATTTTATTGAGTTTCATTAGCCTATTCGCATACATTTATAGAAATTACTTGGATCATATTCACCCCACATCACCCTCTCCTTCGGCTGTCCCCGTCGTGTTAATTGTGCCTCCTACTCATCGTAAGCAGAGTCAATTCGCTTGGCTGCCTTGTCGCCAAACGCCTAAGGGACGCTTTACAAACTGTCAAGCGCAGTTCCGAGGCGGCGCTGATGCTCCCTCCGGCCCCGCCCTGCGCACTCCCGTCGGCCCGCGGGCTGTCGCGCATGCGCAAGACGCTGCGGACACGGTGGGCGTGGCCACATCCGGGACTCGCAGCCTGCGGCGTGGTTGCCAGGGCAGCGGGGTGGCGGGGCCCAGCGCGGGCGGGTGGGCGGGCGGGAGGCATTGCGCGGAGGCTGCGGTGGCTCCCTGGGTGGCCGGGGACCCTGCCGGCCGCGATTGCCGCGCCTAGCCCCGCCGCCACCATGAGCCTGGGCACGGAGGAGTCGCCTTCGGAGACGGTAAACACGCCCGCGGCCTCCATCCCATAGGTCTCCTGGGGTTGCGGGAGGACCGGTGCCCCGATTGTTACCGCACAAGAGCCGGTGCAGGGCGGCGGCCGCCTCGGTGGCTCTTGGACGGCACTCGCGGAGGCCGTCGCTTCCAGGAAGCCCTCCGGGACTGCGCCCTCCCGCGCGTGCGCGTGCGCGCTGCGTGACGAGCTCACCCGCGTGAGTGTTCGGCTAGAGACGCCACCGAGGCATGGCGAGGAGGGAGAAGCCCCAGGCCGCTGCCCAGGCCTGCTGTGTGCTGAACGAATGAGCTGCACGCCAGTGTGGGGGGACATGGCCCCTGGGAGGGTCTCTGTAGGTGGGGGGCCTGCCTTTCCAGGTCAAGATGGAAGCGGCCGCAGCAGTGCAAAGGGTTTGAGGGACGGAGGGGTGCAGGTGGGCGGGGGTTGACGTTGGGTTTTTGGTTTTGTTTTTTTGGGGTGGCACTTGGATTTGAACTCAGGACTTGGCACTTGCAAAGCAGGCGCTCTACCAGTGGAGTCACGCCTCCAGTCCATTTTGCTCTGGTTATTTTGGAGATGGGAGAGGTGTCTCAAGAACTATTTTCCCCGGGCTGACCTCGAACTTGCAATCCTCCCCATCTCAGCTTCCCCAGTAGCTGGGATTGCAGGCGTGAACCACTGCATCCGGCTTAAGGTTGGGTTTTTAATCAAGGTTCAAGTCCAGGGACAGCCTGTGGATGGAGGGGGCCGTGGTCGTCCACCATGGGGCTTCCCATGCGTGCGTGGAGGCGTGGAGGGGGAGATCCACGGTGCTGGCCGGCTTGGGGTTGCCTACTCAGGCCTGCCTGCGTCTGTGTCCACCATCTTCAGCTCTTGCTCCTTTATCTTTGCTTGTTTGGTGCACTGGGGTTTGAACTCAGGGCCTCGGCTTGCCAGCCAGGCTCTGTACCACTTGAGCCATGGCCCCCGGCCCTGTGCACAAAAGTGTGCAATTCTGATGGTTGGTTTTGCCTGTTTTTCTTATTTCCCTGCACACGCTTTTAGAACCCGACGTAAGAAACCGTCTCCTGACCCGAGGTCAGGGATTTCCCTGTTTCTCTTCCTCTCAGCCTGGGGTGTTTTGTGTGACTCTCTGTGGGGTCAGGAACGGGTTGGACCTCAGCACCCAGTGGCCCTGCACCGTTCAGTGAGAACACAGTTGCTTCCCTCGCTCAAAGTTTCTGAGTTTTCTTTCTGTGAGATAAGGGACTGGCTGTGTAGCCCAGGCTGGTCAGAACCGCCCCATCCTTCTGCCTCAGCGCCTGAGTGCTGGGATTATAGGCGTCACCACCAGGCTGGACCTCGCTGTTCGGTTTTTGATTTTCTTGTTGATCTGCCTAGTTGTGTCCATTGGTGGCGTGGCCCTGGCAATGTGTGACTCTGGACCTACGGCCTCCAGAACTGAGCCCCCGGCCTGTTGCACGTGGTGCTCTGGCCAGGGGACAGGCACAGATGAATAAGAGTCAGAATGTTTGAACAGGGTGAAAATGAAACCCTTCAGTGGACAACTCTGTTTTTTTGGTGGTACTGGGGATTGAACCCAGGGCCTCACAAATTCCAGGCAGGTGCTCTACCACTTGAGGCACAGCCCCAGCTCAGGCTGGTCTTGAACTTTCTATCCACCTCCTGAGTAGCTGGGATTACAGAAGTGCCCCACTGCTCCCAGCAAGAACTCTATTGAAAGCACACAGCTACTCTGTAGCACCTGATGCTGGTGGCCTGGGGTCCTGGCGCACCCTTGCAGGTGAACCTTTTGGTTTTTTCCTTTTCCCCGCAGTGCTGGGATTGCCTAGGGCCTCGCACGTGCTAGGCAAGCTCTCTTCCACTTGAGGATCTTGTTTTTAGATCGGGTGTTTTGCTAATTTTGCCTGGGCTGGCCTCCAGAGGAGCTGGGACTACAGGCGTGCCCCACAGTGCCCGGGTGGACTTGAGGTTCATTTCTCTTCCCTCCTCCTGCAGCCCAGCGTGAGATGCACTGGGTCGTGGGCCCTGGATTGACTTGGTTTCCACGTGAGCAGGGAGCACGGGCTGTGGACGGCTGGCACCGAGCCGGGGCCCTGCAGTTACGTGTCTGCATGTCGTTCTTCTTCCAGGGAGATGACAGTCTGTCTGCAATCGCCTTTGATTCTGACTTTGAGACGGTGAGTGCAGTCGGCTGGCAGCGCCCACGGGGCCTATCTGTTCCCTTAGATGAGGAAACGAGGCCTCTCTCCCGCCTCGAGAGACAGATGCAAATCCTGAGCGTCCTTGGAGCAGCCAGGGCGGGCGGAGCAGGACGGTCCGGCCGGGGTGCCCTGTGGTCCCCGTGCTGAGTAGCAGTGGAGCCCTGCTGGCTGCTTGCATGGTGGGTGGTATCAGCACAGACAGGCTTAGTGACACTGCGGCCCCCGAGTGGACCCAGTTCCAGGAGCCTCTGCTCTTGGGTGGCCTGTGGCACCACTGCAGTGAGGGGTGTCACCTTGTCACAGAGGATACGGGCCTCTGGTACTCCGGGAGGAGAAGCAAGGGACATGACTGCATGCCGTCACCTTGTCCGTGTGGTGATGCAGGCTAGGAAGGGGGGTTCTCTGTCCCCAAGCCACAGGCCTAGAGTGGTGGGACTGAGTCTGCCTGGTTCTGCACTTGCACGTGACTGTCGCACGGATGGCCTCCCAACAGGTAGTCCTTGTGACGCCTCTTGTCACTTGACTCAGTGACAAGGGCTGGGTCTTGCCAGATCCACATGTGGACACCAGGCAGCAGACTCAGAATTGGCCTTGGGGACAGGGCAGGGGGCAGAGCTGTCAGTGGCACGGGGCCCTCCTTCCAAGGCCAGGCGTAGCTCCCGGCGGGGCCAGGTCCTGCATGGTGGCTCTGTCCCTTACCCTCTGAGGACATCTGCCCTTCTGTGTTTCAGAAAGCCAAAAGGAAAGGTTTTCACAGGCCTCCGCCCGCATCTCCAAGTGAGTACTGCCGGGTCCCCAGTCGGGCTCTGAGGGACGGGGTACATGCGACACTTGGGGGCATGGGGACTGCCTCCATTTGCTTTGGGGCCTTGGGCTCAGCCATCCTCCAGCTGAGGTTCCTGGGTGGGTTGGCATTGTCCCCTCCTCACCTCAGCCTCCCACGTGACGTGGCGCAGCAGGACATTTCAGGCCTTGTTTTCTTTTTTTTCTTTGCAGCACTGGGGTTTGAACTCAGGGCCTTGAGCTTGCTAGGCCGGCGCTCTCACACTTGAGCCACACCCCCAGTTATTTTTCAGATAGGGTCTCGCTTTTATTTCTGGGCCAGCCTGGACCTCGGTCCTCCCACCTCAGCCTCCTGAGTGTCTGGGATTACAGGTGTGAGCCACTGCGCCTTGCGCAGATTTTTTCTGTGTGCTGTGTGGCTCTGTAGCATCGTGAGCAGGTACTTAGGTTAAGTCTAAAGCGGTGACGCGTGTGCACCGTGACAGAGGCCACGTAAAGTGCGGAGGGGCGGGGACGTCCGTGGGTGCCTCCTAGTTAGGGCACCAGGAGTTTTCACATTTTAAGGTTTCCCCTTGTCTTCTTTGTAGCAGAAATTAAAGGGGAGTTGTAAAGGTGTGTGTACGTACGTGTAACCGTTGTCAGGCTGGGTGTGACAACTGTCGTCCCCGCTGCTTGGGAGGCAGCGGCAGAGGATGGTTGAGTCCACAGGTTCAAGGCCAGCCTGAGCAGTCCACATAGCATGGCCCGGCTTGGCGTTTTCTGCATGAGCTCGGCTCTCTGCGTGTTTGTCTCACCATTTTGTCGTCTTTCTTGAGTGTGCGTGTCGGGCCCACCACTGTCCTGCAGCTCTTAAGACCTCGTGCGTCTGGCTTTGCAGAGTCACCGTACTACTCCAAGCCGAGGAAGGTGGCATCCTGGCGGTCTCTCAGGACAGCGGGGACCATGCCTCTGAGCAGTAGGGTGTCCCTGACACCCCAGAAGCTATGGCTGGGAAGTGCAAAGCAAGGTATGAGCCGCCGCCCCCGAAGGCCAAGCACGGGGGGAGTTTCTAAACTGTGGGGTGAGCGAGCCGGTGTTCGTGACCTTGGCTTTGACGTCAGTCTCAGTGGTCTGCACTACTGTGCTGCAGCAGGTCTGTGCCGTGCACAGGTGTGGTTCCCGGCTTCCACGCGGGTGGCACTTTGGCCTCCTTTGGTCCCGATGAGACTTGGTGACCGTGGCTGGAGTGGCTCTAGCCATTCCGTCTTAGTTTTCCCGACTGCTCAGTGTCACGTGAGCGGCTTGACCTTGGGTGCAGTGGGGACCATGGGATGGTGATGCCCCAAGTCAGGCTCCTGGGTCCACTGTCGAGAGCAGTTGTCATACATGTCACCACCTCCCTGGCCACGGTGTCCACTGGTGCTGCTAGCCTCCTCCTGCCCCAGAGGTCAATGGGATGAAAAGCCGCGTCGTGTTTTCGTCTACCTGTCCTACTAAACGCACGCACGTTCAAACCAGGAGGTGGGACCCAGCCCCTGCACTCCACACCCACCCAGGAGCACGCGTGGACCCTCCCCCCCAGCAGCACCCCTGACCACCTGGCGGAGGCCGTGAGAGTGAGGAGGTCAGACCTCAGGCGTTCTGCCAGCAACGGTGAGCGGCTGATGGGGACAAGGTCGTGGCTAGGAAGAGCAGAGGGAAAGCGCCTGCAGCTGAGGTGGCCTTTGTCAGAATGAGGGGATTGGCACTGTTGGAGGCACTGGGGTCTGAACTCAGGGCCTCATGCTTGCTGGGCAGATGCTCTACCACCTGAGCCACTCCACCAGTCTTGTTTGTGTTGAATATTTTCGAGAGAGAGTCTATGAACTGTTTTCCTGGGCTGGCTTTGAACTGCGATCCTTCTGATCTGTGCCTCCTGCGTAGCTGGGATTACAGGCGTGAGTCGCGGCATCTGGCTCTGATGATCTCTTAAGAGACTTGCGTGTCTTCTCTAGGTCACGTTCCTGGGATTGCTGTCTGCAGAGAGAAGGAGGACATGTGCGACGAGATAATCGAGCTGAAGAAGGTAGCCCTTCTCTCTGCTCCTCTCTGATTAGCAGTGGCAGACCCCCGTCTCTGTGGCAGTGCTGGGGTCTGTCATACAGAAAAAGCATGAGTGTTGCTCACCCAGCGTCTGGATCCTGGCCCCAGGCCTGAGGGGCTGGCCAGTGGCTCAGGGAGGGCCTGTCCCAGCAGTCTCACAAAGGTGACACGGTTTTGGGTGGCACTGCCCTGGAGTCAGTGCGGTTTGGGTGCCACCTGTGCATAATGGAGGGTCACCTCAGGGTCCCCGAGCCCTGACCTTTGCTGGCATTTGAGGCACTGGTGTGACCCCTAGTGTTGCCCCACCCCAGCCAAGCTCTCCAGAAGCCCCGCGAGGCACGGCCAGTGTTACACCGTCTTCTGCGGTGAACTTGAGAGGTTGGTCTGGCCAACGTCAGCCGCAGCAGAACGAGGTCCACAGCCATTGGCCTCCGGGCTGAGACTTGGTTACCTCGTGCTCCCTCCCCCGCCCCCCTTGAATGGTGCCGAGGTGCGTCCTCGTCCCTCCGCTGTCACCACACTGGTGTGTGACGTCCACACACACGTTTGTGCCTCGGGAGAAGTCATCCTTCTTGCTTTAGACGTGCCGGCCCCACGGCTGAGCTGCATCTGCAGGGCCGTGGTCACCTGGGCACTGCAGGTCAAGCCGAGCGCCGGTGGCCGGCACGTCTAGGCCCTATTGAGAAGCCAGGAAACGTCCTACGTGGGGAGGTGGGGGCGGGGTGAGGGGAGCACGGGCAGCTGTGTCTGGGGCAGTCCCTGCTGTGCCGGTGCAGAGGACACTCGGGTTTCAGTCCTGTGACGCGCGCTCTGACCATGCAGGCCATCCAGCAGGGAAAGGCCACCCGTCTGCGGGTGTCCCCAGCAGAGGCTGGCTGCGGGGGGTGGGGGGAGCCCGTTTCTCTGGGAGGCAGAACAGTGACCGCCACAGCCGTGCTCAGGGCCATCTTCTCAGGCTTGAACTGGGCCTCTGGACGACGGTACTGACTTGTCCATGCTCGCCATCAAAGTTTCCCTGGGTAACCAGCCCTCGTCCCAAAGCCACAGAAGAGGATCGTGTTTCCATGACTCTTGTCAGGGACGCTGATCAGAGTCCTTTTCTACACGGCCGTGTCTCAGTTTCCTGTTAGGGAGGTTAGGAAGCAGGCGGGCATAGTGGTTCACGCTTGTAATCCCAGCTACTCAGGAGGCTGAGACAGGAGAATTGCGAGTTCAAAGCCAGCCTGGGCTACAGAAGCAGACTGTCTCAAAATTAAAAGAGAAAGGGTGGGGAGGTGCAGCAGAGTATAGGGGTCACCTAGCGTGCACAAGGTCCCGGCTGATCCCTGTCCTGCTCCCCCAAGGGGGACAGTCGTGCTAACCTCATAGGTTGTTGAGAAGTTGCGGTCAAACCCAGGAATGGCTCCTGCGCCCTGCCTGCTGTGCAGCGAGCGAGTGATAAGTACCTGCTTCGAAATGAAGTCGCCTGATAAGGTGGCACAGAGGAGTCCCTGGGCTCTCTCCCTCTCCCCGCGATCATCTGATACAGCTGTGCCACGGAAAAGCAAAAAACCGTGTACACTGTGTGTGCATGTGAGTGTTCCCGTGTCCTGTCCGGGCGTGGGCCCATTGTGCGCACGTGTTCCCGTGTCCTGTGTGGGCCCACTGTGCGTGTGTTCGCGTGTCCTGTCCGGGCGTGGACCCACTGTGCGCGCGTGTTCCCGTGTCCTGTCCGGGCGTGGACCATGCTCCACTGCTTTGCAAATGTAGGACCGCCCTCCCCACAGGTGCCCCTTGCACTTCCGGCCCGTAGCCTGGCACCGCTGTTAGTGTGGTCCGGTGTCCGTGGTTCTGTCATTTTACAATGAGCAGAAGAGACCACAGAGAGAGTGGGTGGCCTTTGGAGACTGCTTCTCTCTCACATCCCGAGACCCCTAGTGGGTCAGGTGCACTCCTGTCCTCAGTCCTCACTGCCCTCTTGACAGGCTGTGGGATTTTCATTTTCATTCAGATCACTGTGTTTTTAAACAATTTCTCTTCCTGGACTTGGTGGTGTGCCTGTAATCCCAAGTGGACAGTGAGTCCCAGGCCAGCCTGGGCTGCATAGTGATACAAAACAGGATTTCTGTGGGACCCTGAGACCTGGCTGGATCCCGTGGTTTGGTTTCTGTTGGTTTTGTTCTTTGGAGCCTGGGGCTGTTCGGGGTGGTGGCGCCCGTGTCTTTCTGTCTTTCCTTTTCCCTTGAGGCTTGCGTGAGGTCCAGGGTGTGGTGTGGTTTGGGTGCAGCGAGTGGCCACAGATGTTCACTGGACGCCGTCGGGTGGTAGCGCTGGAGCTCTCCATCCTCTGGCTCCCGTGCCACCATCCTGTCACCGTAGCTGTGGGTCTGTCCCTTCCTCTCAGTGCCATCAGCTCTGTCCTGCAGCACCCTTGTGCTTAGGCCTGCTGTCGTCCCAGTGGGTGGACCTTGTGACTATGCGGTGTCCCTGTCTGCTGTCGCTCCTGTCCCCTGAAGTCTGCTTCATCTGACGTCAGCGTCCCCATTCCTGAGTGCGCACTGCTCCTTTCTTGCTTGTTGCGTGTGAAGCGAGTCTCTCAGCACGCAGGAGGCTGGGCAGTGGGCAGTGGGCCGTGGGCCGTAACCCTCTGTCGGTCTGTGTCTTCTCGCTCAGGTCACTTGTGTGTTGTCGTCCTTATGTGAGGGCTTGAGGGGCTCGTGTTCTGTTGCTCTCCATCTGCCATTTCTGGGGTTTTTCTTTCTGTAGCTCACTGGTAGCATTCTTGTGTCCCGAGGCCTCTGTAGTGGCCACTCCAGGTGTCCCTCGTGTACACAGCTTACTGCAGCTGTGGGTGCCTAGTGTCACTGAGCAAAGAGGAGAAACCCTGTATGTCCTTCCATCCCCACTTCTGCCTGCTTGCCCCAAACCTCCTGTGCCATGACACCATGTCACGCGTGCTCACGACTCCACGTCACCTGGCAGGTGCACTTTAGAAAACCCAAGAAGGAAAGGCGCCATGTTTCCCCAGTGCCCACTTTCCCTGTCCTGGAGTTCCAGGACCCCTCCTTTCATCACCTCCTTCCTGTGCAGAGAGCTCTGTGGCCTTCTCTCGAGTCTGCGGGTGACATGTTCCTCGTCTCAGTGGAGATTGGGCCGTCTCAGAACCCACAGAACTGGGGTGTCCTCGCACTTCTGGGAGCATTCCTACTGGGGACCTCGTGAGGGCTCCTGTGGCCTCTGTGGTCTGCCGAGGGACCCACCGTCCAGGGTCCTCCCCAGGGCGGTGCTGCCTCTCTGGCTGCTTGTGGCAGTTTTCTGTATTTATTTACAAGTGTGACTGTGTCACATCCACAGGGGTTTCCTTCCATTTGGCCTATTTGAGCTTCCTCAGCTTCTCAAACCTGTAGGTTTGTCTTTTGCCAAACTGGGGAAATTTTTCACCTTATTTCCTCATACGCCTTCTCAGCCCCGCGCCTTGTCACACCACGGGTCCCTGAGGCATGGCCCCTGTGTGTCTTCCCCTCCCCTGCCCTGCCGGCTGGGCAGGCCCTGTTGGTGTCTGCTCTTCAGCTCAGTGACCTTCTGGTTTTTCTTCATATCCTTGCTTTTTAGCCGAGACTTTCTGTCTCTTCGCTCGTTTCAAGTCGTGGGTGCTTTTGTCACGGCTGTGCAGAACCTGCCGGGCGCTGGCCCCCGCGCATGGCTTTTCCTCACTCGGGTGCGGACGTTCTGGCCCTTCGTGTGACAGGGCGGGCATGATGTCAGGAGACTCCGGGATCCCCTGTGGCAGGGCTCTGGGCCCCTCACTACCGCCAGGCAGGGATGCCCACGTTGGGGCCTCCCAACCCCACTAGGCCTTCGCTGCAGTGCTGTCAGGTGGCCCCGTCACCCCTGGGTGATGCAGCCCAGAGGGGTTCCCACAGTGTGTCCTGTGGCTGTGCCTCGCTGCCCCCCACCCCGTGTCTCCCCAAAGAGAAGAGCCGTGTGGGGAATTTTACAGTCGCCCTCGGCTCTTGGCTTCCCCAGCACCCAGCCCGGGTGAGGCGCCTCTGTCCCTTGGCCCCAGCGCGCCCGCCCACTGCCTTCTCACGCTTCAAGGTCTTGTCACAGCGGCCTGGCACACTGTGGCTGAGGGTTAGCTGGACTGGCTGGAAGAATGGGGAGCAGGAGTCCCCCCATTGCTGGGTGATGGCCACCCACGCTGGCTGTCATTGACACTTGCGTGACACCAGCAGCTGAGCCACCATAGCGTGTGGCTCTCGTGCCCTGCGACCTGTGGGACGTGTGCCCTGCCATGCTGCCACCCGGTTCTGCCCAGACCCGCGGCCTCGCTGCGGCCACAGTCCCCTGAGACAGGGCCGCCAGGTGACCGGCTGCTTCTCCTCACACCACTGCTGGAAGCCAGTTACCTGGGGCACAACCCAGCCCTGGTTCCTTTGCTTTTCCTACCTGGGAAAAGCTGGGTCAGACCCAGGGCATGTGCGTGCCGGGCACATCTACCCGAGCCCCACCCAGCAGGCTGGCCTGGGCTTCTTAATGTCATACGTCAGGGCGCTGGGCTCCACAGCCTGGCCAAAAGCACCTTCCTGCGAGACCATTCAAAATACTCCACGAGGACCCCCTGCTAAAAGAAACAGAACTCCAGGCCGGGTGCCCTGGGGCAGGCCTGTAATCCCCGCTACTTGGGAGGCCAGAGATTGGGAAGGCCATGGTTTGAGCTGAGCCGGGCGAAAGTGAGACCCCACCTCAACTAAAGGCTGGCAGGGTGAAGCACACCTGTGGTCCCAGCTGCACAGAAGGCAGAGAGGGGAGGCTCGTGGTCTGAGGCTGGCCCAGACAAAAGTGCAAGAGCAAGAAGGACTGGTGGAGTGGCTCACGTGGGGGAACACCTGCCCAGCCAGCATGAGGCCCTGAGTTCAAATCCCATTGCCACCAAAAAAAAAAAAAACCACGAGTCCGAAGTCGTGTCACAGGAAGGAGAGTTAAGAAACAGTAAACTGACTTGTGAAATCTTGTCTGTGTGGTCCTTTACTCTCCTCAGTCTGTCACAGATTAATATAAAATTCCTCCAGAGACGCCGGAACCATGGCTTTGGTTGGCCAGCACTTCTAGTGACCTTTGTCACATGGTGTGGCAAAAATGGCACGGAAGTGAGCTCGGTTCTTGGGCCATGTCACTGCCCATGAAGCATGCGTTTCTCAGCAGGTGCCCTGGCGTTGTGGCGGGGCAGTTCCCACCACGTCCATGACACGTGGCCTCTCCCGTCCCCCGCCACCAAGGGCCAGGAGTGCCCTCGGCCTGCAGATCTTCCCTCTGACCCCCCATGGCGCCCGAGGGAGCTGGACAACTTGGCCAGCCTGGGCTCGGCGTGTCCTTGTCCCTGCCAGCGTGTGCATGGTGTGCGCCTGGCCCCTCTCTCCTCCAGTCACTACACATGCAGAAAAACAACGTGGACCTGATGAGGACCAAGCTGCGACGCCTGGAGGAGGAGAACAGCAGGAAGGACCGGCAGATTGAGCAGCTGCTGGATCCCGGCCAGGTGAGCTCCTGCCCGAGGCCCCGTCCCCAGACCCCCGACCCCGTGTGGAGGGGCCGAGCGTCTCGGCCCACACGCTCAGCCCCTCACTCTGCAGGGCTCGGAGTTTGTGCGGACGCTGGCAGAGAAAAGGCCGGACACTGGTTGGGTGAGTAGTCGCCACCCCAGAGCCTCCCACAGGGTCGCAGCTAGACAGACAGCGGTGGCGATGCGCTGGAGGGGCTGGGCTCAGAGCCATCTCCACCCACGCTCCACGGGGCCGTGGGTCACAGCAGTGCTTCAGGATCCGTCGGGGAGGAAGACAGGGTGAGCAGGCCTAGCATGAGGCCAGCGGTCACCGTGGGCCATCTCGCCAGCGACACCCAACCATGTGCACCTGTGCTCAAAACAGAAACAGCAGCTGTAGAAGGAAGCCTGCACAGTAGGTGCAGAGCTCTCATGTTGTGTGATTGACGTCACCGAACAAATGAAACGAAGTGACCAAGAGTGGCACACAGTGGCAAGAAAATCACATTTGGAGAAAAATGTCCTGGACTACTCGGGTCGGACACGTCTCTTGTGAGTGTGGAAGCCAAAAGGAAACCCGAAGGGCTGCAGTTCTGAGATTCTTGAGTGTGATGCGAGCAATGGACTCGACATCGAATTACAATGTATATAAAAGCCCTTCAGACCAGCTGGGTGCTGGTGCTCATGCCTGTAATCCTAGCTACGGAGGCTGAGTGGGGAGGATCGAGGTTTGAGGTCAGTCAGAGCAAATAGTTCTTAAGACCCCATCTCCAAAATAACCAGAGCAAAATGGACTGGAAGTGTGGCTCAAGTGGTCGAGCGCCTGCTTTGCAAGTGTGAAGCCCTGAGTTCAAATTCCAGTCGTACCAAAAAAAAAACATACTGAGGTGCGAACTGCAGCAGTGCAGTGGGGGAAGATTGGGTCCCATTGAGTGATGTGTTTTCTGTCCCGGACGTGCAAAACAGTGGGCGTGACTCCAGACAAGCAGTCTGCACTGCGATATGGCAGCTGTCAGTGCATATCATGTAGAAACGTCAGGTTTCATGTAAAGATTGAAGCCTCGTGTGCACAGGGTGCACGAAGTCTTTCCCCAAGAAAATCTTCTTCATTATTTTGAGACAGCATCTCACTGTGTGCCAGGCCAAGATGGCCTTGGCTCCTTGGCTCAGGCAGTCGCCCAGCTCAGCCTCCAGAGTAGCTGGGACTACAGGCACCCTGGCTCAGAAAGTTCCTCAGACGACTGCCGTGTGACACATTTGATCTTCCGTAGTGGGGGCTTCAATCCTCTTTCATGTGTTTATTTTTTTGGTGGTGGCAGTAGGGTTTGCACTCAGAGCCTCACGCTTGCTAGGCAGGCACTCTATCATTTGAGCCACTCCACCAGCCCTTTTAGTTTTAGTTATTTTTCAGGTTGGGCTTGCATTTTTCCCTGGACCTGCCTCAGACCACGATCTTCCCAAGATCCTCTTAGAGTACCTGGAATTACAGGTGTGAGCCTCCATGCCTGGCCTTCAGTCCCCGTCGTCAAGATCAGGAGATAGGTTAATAATAGACATCTCCAAATCGGGTTCCCTCTGCCACCTCTGAGCTCTGGGGAGGCAGGAGTGAATGGTGTCGGTCTCAGAATTTATTTAAAAATACTCCCAGTGAAACCACTCACTGTCAGCAACAGAGTTCACACCATCATCAGAGCCACTCTTGGTAGGGTTGTGCAAAAGCCAGGCGTATTCAGAACGGAGGCATCAAGTTTTACGTCCTTACGCTGTGCAAAACCATGCCTGGCACTCACCTGCCCATGCGCTTGTTAGGACCGTGGCAGGAATGCGATCCAGCGTGGAAACCCACTTAGTGCACAAGGACATTTATTCCTGCCCAATTTGGGGGAAATTTGAGGAACAAGCCACTCAAAGTGGTATGTGCGTATCTCAAACATTTCTGGGAAAAAATTTTTAGACCGGGCATGGCGGCGCTCGCTGTGATCCCAGTTAGGCGGGAGGCCAGGGCTGGCCCAAGCAAAAGGACAAGACCCTGTCCCCAAAATGTCTAAAGCAAAGAGAACTGGGGGAGTGGATCAAGTGGTACAGCACTGTTTGAGGAGCACAAGGTCCCAAGTTCAAACCCAAGTGTCGCCAAATAAACCAAAAAACAGAATAGTGCAGCTGCCTCAAGAAATGCCCCCCCATGAATAATGGATGCTTCCATAGAGAAAAGGACCTGTATTTTTATTCAGTGCCATGGGGTTTGTTTTTGTTGTTCTTTTTTTTTTTTTAAACATTGAAGTTAAGTAGAATTCTAGCTCAGAAGGTTAAGTAGAATTCTAGCTCAGAAGGCAAATGCAATATTTACTTAATTTTTGCAGTACCAGGGTTTGAACTCGGGGCCTCATGCTTGCTAGGCAGGTGCTCTACCACTTGAGGCCCTCCACCAGCCCTGGCGTGTTTATTTTAATCCCATGTCCCTCAAAGTGATGGAGCCCAATTTTGAACAGTTTTACTTGTCATGACCCCACGTTGAGGAAATGTTTGGTGCCAGGTGTGGTGGCACACACCCGTAGGCCCAGCACTGGGGAGTGGAGGCAGCAGGATTGTGACTTTGAAGCCAGCCTAGGCTCCATACTGAGTCTTCTCAAAAACAAAGGGAAAAAATGGCCGATTGCACATGGAGGCCTGGCCAGGGACCGGCGGCAACTTCAGCATAAGCGTCCACCAGTGGGAGGATGGGCAGGTGATCCTCTGCGTGATTCAGAGGTGGCAGGGATCAGGCCCAGGGGGTCGTCGATGGAAGAGTCAGTCACAGGGCGTGTGGGGTGCGTCCTGTTCCCCCGCGCGGTGGCCGTGCCTGTGTCCAACGTTGCACAGCAGGCGTGCACCCACGTGACGTGCAGAGTGAGCGGGTGCGTGAGTGTGCACACGGCTGTGCCTCTAACGTGCGTGCTGCGGGTCTGCCGTGGCAGGCGTGTGCGGCAGGCGTGACTGGCGGGTGCACGCAGCTGTGTCTACTGCGTGTGCAGAGCGGGAGTGTACGACACGTGTGCAGTGGGTAGGGGTACCCGTGCACTGAAGTAGAAGAAAGTTAGCACTGAGGGGTGACAGGAGGAGAGTGGTCGAGGCCCAAGGGTGTGTTAGCCTTACCCACAAAGCCTTTAAGAAAACGTGTTCACGTATGGCTGTATTAAAATCTCATTAAATCATCTGTTCAGAGACAAGGGTGTCCTCTAAGGGCCAGGCGGACGTGCCAGGTGGGCTGATGGACTTGTCGGGCAGGTGAGGTGAAGGTCCCGGTGGCTTCCGTGATGTGAGACAGGAGGCCGACATTGCGCCCGCTCTCCCAAGCCCAGTGTGTCCAGGAGGACAGCTGCCATCGGGCTCACGGGGGTCACTGTCCTCCTGCCTCTGCGTCTCTCCCACCCGGCCCCCGTGCTCAGTGTCACACGCGTGCATAGCACAGTGGAGCCCCAAGTCACTGCCTTGGCCACCAGACAAGTGGCATCAGGAAGGAAGGTGGCACACATGAACAGGCTGGGGCCCTGGGGCCGCTCAGCTGGGCCTCGGGGAGGGAGAGCAGCGGCTTGGGCCCCGCGGACAAAGGCTGAGGCGGTGGCCTCTGCCCTCAGGTCATCACGGGGCTCAAACAGAGGATCTTCCGGCTGGAGCAGCAGTGCAAGGAGAAGGACAGCACCATCAGGTAGGGGCCGTGCCACCTGCACTGGGGTCCACTGGGGCTGCACTGGCACTCTGTCGTCCTTGTCCCCACCCATCCTGGTTCCCAGCAAAGCTGAGGAAAAAGCTGGCCGTGCCTCCCCCCACCCCACGTTTCCTCCAATCCCATCGGGGAACAGGATTCCCCAGGTCTGCGGCTCACCTTTGCTTTCCACCGTGAATTTCTTGGGTCTTGATACAGCCTCAAAGGCCCAGACCTCGCCCCGGCGCGTCTGTCTCCCAGGCCCTGTCCTGCTCTTTGGGCGTAGCTATCCTGTCTCTCTGTCTGCTTTTCTGTCTTGTTAGTGAACAGAGGTGGTCTTTCTTGGCGGTCGTTAGGTCTGTTTAAGGAAAACTGAAGCTGGTGGTGCTCCCTGTAATCCCAGCCCTCAGGAGCTGATGCAGCGTCATCGTGAGGCCCTAAAGGAGGGCAGTGAGGCAGCGTGTGTATTCGCGCTGCAATAAGGCATCATGGGATCAGTTGGGTTAGTGGTGGTTTCTTGGGAGTTCTTCGCGTCTTAGTGCCCTCTGCCTGAAGCCTGTGATGTGCGGAGACCGAGGCCACCGCGCTCAGTGCCAGGGCAGAGAACGGTCCCTAGAACTGGATCTCCCCACCTGCCCCAGGGTGGCCATCCCTCCCGGCTCTTTCTGTGCATCGAGCCATGTTCTCAGGGGAGCATCAGGGACGGGCCTCACTGGAGTCACTGGTCCCCCCGAGGGACGAGGCAGTATGAGGACCCTTGTCAGTCTCCAAGCGAGAGGGTCCCTCAGGGCCAGAGCCACCGAGGGTCACTCAGCCTCCTTTCCTGTCACTACCTTGTGCTGCCCTGGCCCTGGCGTTTCTGTGGTAACTCTGAACTTGCTTTCCAGCAAACTCCAGACGGACATGAAGACCACCAACCTGGAGGAGATGAGGGTTGCCATGGAGACGTACTACGAGGAGGTGCGTGTGCAGACAGCCAGGCAGCCACCTGCTCAGCTCCTGTGACACGAGTCGTGGCACGCTGGCTCTCCTGCAGAGCGTGGGTGCGGGTTAGGGAAGGCCCACCCATGCTGGCTCCTTCGAACGTGCCCCCCTTGGCATTTCCAGATCCACCGTCTGCAGACTCTGCTGGCCAGCTCTGACCCCCCGGGAAAGAAGTACGCTAACGTCCAAGCCGCGTCTCATGGGTAGCCTGCACACTACCCAGCCGACTCTGAAAGCAGGGTAGTCCTTGCCTGGAAATGGCGTCCCCGGCCCCTACCTGGGCGGTGGTGCCGATGTCCACACTGTCCGGGGTGTTCAGGTCACCTCATGATCACTGCCTCCCCATGACGGCTGCACAAACAGTACTCCTTGACTGAGTCCTACTCACCATCTGGCAGCTTCCGGCCTACGACTGGAAAGTGCTGCCGTCCAGTTAGATCCACCTTCTCAGGAGGACTTCCCATACAGTCACGTAAAGTTTTCCCAGCCAGGGGTGGGGGGTGGCTCAGGTGGTAGAACACTGGCCTAGCAAGCCCCAGACCCCAGTACCATAAGCCCAGGCACAGTGGTTCACGCCTATAGTCCCAGCTACTCAGGAGGCAGAGGGCAGGAGGATTATAATTGAGGTCAGCCTGGCCAAAAAAGTTTGGGAGACCCCATCTCAACAAAACTTGAGTATGGTGGTGCACACCTATGATCCCAGCTATGCAGATGTAAACAGGAGGATGGCAGTCCAGGCCGAGCTGGGCAAAGATGTGAGACCCCCTCCTGAAAGAACTGGAGAGGGCTGAGAGATGGCTCATGTGGTAGAGTGCCTGCCCAGTAAGCATAGGGCACTGAGTTCAAACCCCATTGCCCCCCCCAAAATTTTCCCTAAAGTAGTTTATTAGGAGAGACAACCTCACCACATAAAGCTCCCATCCTTTTCCCAAGTGACGTGGCACAAGGCTTGGAGTAACTCCTGGGATGGTGGCCTGGCCACTGCACACGCTGCAGACACTTGTACAGGCTGTGCTCCCATGCACGGTCCTCAAAATGCCTTCTGTGACAAGCCAGGTGACAAGCACCTCAGCTCTTTACTCAGGCAAACCGATGTCATTCCATGAAGTCCTCAGTCACTGCTCCCTGGGCTGGCAGGGACGTGACTGGTGTTACAGATAAATATGGAACCTGTCGGTAACACGACCGACTGTGTTTTCTATCTCATGGGGTAAGGGGCAAAAACGAGAAGAGAAGCCTTTTTCCGCAAACGGGGTTCCCACGAACTCCGCTACAAGTCACCGCGCGCGCTTATTTTGCTGTAAGAGTGGAGTTTTATCACGGGGTTAGCATTTGGTCTATGTGGGATCCAAAGGTAGCGTTCCCTGTTCCGTTGCAAAACCACCCTGGGCTCCGTGCGCCCGCCCCTCGTCCGGACCCCGCGAAGCCCGTGTAGCAGCCCAGACCCCAGCCCTTGCTCGCTTGTCGCCAGGCCCGCAGCGGAGAAGAAGCCGGGCATGAGGAAGCAGAAGATGAACAGTGCCCTGCTGAACCTGTCCCGCAGCGTCCAGGAGCTGACGGAGGAGAACCAGAGCCTGAAGGAAGACCTGGCCCGTGTGCTGAGCAACTCGCCCACCGTCTCCAAAACCAAGGGTTTGTCCCCGCCACGAGGGGCGCACGGGGGGCCGCCACAGGGAAGCCCCGGCCCAGGCCTCAGCTGTGAACCCAAGTGCACAGGCCTCAAAGTGCGTGTGTCCTGTCCGGCAGTGTCCCCTCGCGGTGACTGTGCTTGCCATGTGCCATCCAGACCCTGGGGGCAGAGCTGGGAACGAGCATGCAGGCGTGTCCCATGGGGGTGACGCTGTGGTCATGAGGAGCAGGTGTGGGGAAGGCTGTGCAGAAAAGGGGTGCTAGCAGCAGACGCCCCATACTTGTCCTGGTGACAGTGTGCTGGCTTAGCCTGCAGAGTGGCAGGAGTGGCCAGGGAGGTCCTAAGGGACAGGCGGGGTTTGAAGTGAGACACCTGGGCTGGAGAACGGTGTGTGCTGCTGGTCAGTGGGTAGATGGAGTAAGTGGGGCCACCCCGCGAGCAAGGGAGGGGACAGAGCAAAGGAGCAGGGGTCCTGAGCCCTGAGGCACTGGGAAGGTTGGGAGGTGAGGGCTAGGTGGCCATGCTGGACGGAGCCCAGCAGTGAGGACCAAAAATCAAATTCAATGGAAGCCGCCTGAAGGGACTGGTGAGGTCAAAGCCACGCCAAGATATTGGCAGGCAGGCGTCAGCATCACTGACTGCAGACAACGTGCAGGGGGCCGGCCTCTGTCCGCCGGGGGCTCGGAGCTTCGCTGTCCCCCGTGGGAGGGAAGGCTGTCCACTCGGGGGACATAAGGAAGACCTGTTGCTTCCTTAGGTTACGTGGACTGGAGCAAGCCCCGGCTGCTGAGACGCATCGCAGAGCTGGAAAAGGTGAGTGGGTGTCGGAGCCCCGTTACCAGGACCTGCTCGTGCCCGAGGAGCGCTGTTTAGTGGGGGACGTGACTCATGGAGTGAGACGGGTCACTGGACAGGCAAGTGGTGACCGTCCAGCAGGTGGCTCCAAGTGCAAACCAAAAATCCTGGCTCCTGGCCGGGCCTGGCCAGGACCCGGGGTTTGTACCGCACGTTGTCCTCATTTCACCCGGGGCAGGTCACATCAGTGGACCTCCACGTAGCTGCGGGTGGCTGTGTGTGACCCTGGCGCCCCTGCACAGCTGGCATGTGCTGCCTGCCAGCTGCCAGTCCAATGGCAGACTTTTCCTCCCGTTGTGGGATAATTGAATTTGCAGACGACTCTGGGGTCCAGGCCACCTGGGAGGGTGGCGTTCCTGGCGGCTGCATTGATGCGCCTGGCCCATTATTGCTGGGATGATGAGCGAGAGGCAAAAGGACGGTGCGGGTATGGGGGATGCAGAAGTAAGTTCAGCGTTTACAAAGTGGAGAAGTTGCTCTGCACCGCGGGTACTTGTGATCAAAGCCCTCTGGGAAGTGGAGGCAGGCCGGGGCCAGAGTGGAGGCTGCTCGCACCCCTGTGGTCACTGTGGGCAGAACCGGAACACAGCTCAAGGTGAAGGGCAAAAGGGTTGGAAATTTCAGATGCTCCCTGCCTGCTCACACCTGCATCCTCCTGGCCTTTGTCACCCTGTGCCCGGGCCGGGTCTGCCCGCCCCACCGCCCGTCTGGAGCTGAGAAGCCCTTCCAGCAGCCTGACCCAGACTCGTGTCACAGCCACGCTGTCTCTGCACGCTGTCACCTTTTGCCTCTAGCTCATCACCCCATCAGAGGAACTCGTCCCCCGGGGCTGGTTGTCTGTCTCCTGGTTTTGTGAATGGAAAGGAAACGCGGGAGTAACACAGCCATGTTCCCTCCAGAAAGTGAGCTCGCTGGAGAGCCTGAAGCCGCACGCTGCAGAGCTGCACAGACTGTGTCCCCTGGTCCACTCGGCCTCCAGCACCGCGGTGCACAAGCCGCCCAAAGCGGACCGGGCCGAGAACCCCGAGCACCTGCAGCACCTGCGGGGGACGGTGAAGAGCCTGAAGGGGGAGCGGAGCTGGCTGCGCGCACAGCTGATGGAGAGAGAGTGGGTACCAGCGTGCGGCCCTCGTGAAATGAAGGACGCCCTGCGACCATGTCACGTCACTGGGGGGAGGGGAAGGAGTGCCCCGTAATCTGCTCATGCTCAATTCCAGAAAAGCTTCTCGGGAACTTGCCATCTCCATTTGCATGAAGTCAAGTAGATTGTAGGCAAAGTGGCTTTAAATTAGTGACGTCTGTGACATGTGAGTCCTACGTCACATGTGTGCTGGAAAGTGTTCTGGGTGACCTGGGGGTGAGGGCAGAGCCTGCCTACCTGTGCTGCAGGCCCGGCTGAGACGAGGTTAGGACGGAGGCCAGAGGCCCGGCTAGAAGTTATAACGGAGGCCAGAGGCCTGGCTGGTTGCCATCAGCAGCTTGGGGCCTGGGTCCCTTTCCGAGGAACGCCACTTGTGGCAGTGTGCAAAGCCGTCGTGTAGCATGAGGGCTCCTGAGTGAGCCCCTGCTGCCCCTCCAGGGCTGTCTCAGTGGACACGAGCGCATGGGCCACAGTGACACGGGTCCCGTCTTGGGCTCCCCTCCGGTATAAGTGGGTCTCTGGTTCTGTGCCCGCAGCATGGAGGTGAAGCAGCTGCTGCAGACCAAGGCCGACCTGGAAAAGGAGCTGGGCAGCGCCCGGGAAGGCGAGAGGGCACGGCAGGAGCAGGAGCAGGCACTGACGTAAGTGGTGCCATTGCTTTCTTTTGCGGTACTGAGGCTTGAACTCAGGGCCTGCACCTTGAGTAACTCCACCAGTCCTTTTTGTGATGGTTTTTCTTGAGAAGTGTTTTCCTGGGCTGGCTTTGAGTAGCTGGGATTACAGGTGTGAGCACCGGCACCTGACACTGGCGCTGTTCCTCACGGGGATCTACACTCCTTGCCCCAGGGGACCCATCCCCAGGTCTCACTCAGCACAGCACAGAGGTCATGCCTCTCCTGGCGGTGGTGTTCAGGGCTGTCCCTTTCCTCAGGACTCCTCATTACAGACCATGTTTATCCCTGTGCCATGGTGGCTGCTCCCTGCATCCCCTCCACGGCAGGTGTGCAGTGTGACAGTGGTGCCTACCAGCCCCAAGCCAGGCATCCCTGCTCCTCAGAGGGGACTTTGTAGTGGCACTGGTCACCAGAGCCAGCAAGTGCAGGCTACCGCAGGGTGGAGGGGCCTGGAGCACCTGGCTGGGAAAGTGGCTGTGGTGACCAAGGAGCCACTCCCTGGGGCCATGCAGGCCAAATGGGGACCGAGAGCCTGTGCTGGGAAGAGGGGCTCCTCAGGGGTGGTGGCTGCTCTTTAACGAGATCCTGTGACAGCTGCAAGCCACCGTGACTGTAAAGTCACCTAACTGTTCACTTTAACACGGTGATTGCTACATTTTGTTATTGATGACTGTAATTTCCAGCACTGGGGCTGTGTTGGGCAGGGCTCTCCCACGGAGCCTAAAATAGTGAATCTCTCCTTGTGAGTTTTGTATGGACATAAAAATGTAAACAGAACGAGATTTGAAACGTGAGTAGGCGCATTTAGCACCCAGAATCATCACTAATACTCGGCTTTGTGGAGTGAATATAAAACATTTTATCTTTAGAAGATTGCAACTGAATTTTGTCAGGAGGTCTGAATTAAATCAGAAAGGGCAGGTGTTCACAAACAGTGTTTTACCTCAGTGCTTGAAGTAAGGACACATGTCACAGTTCCTGCCACCCCCACTGGGTATGGTGACACACGCCTGTAATCCCAGCTACTCGGGCAGCAGAGGTAGGAGGATCACAACCCGAGGCCAGCCCAGGCAAAAGCATGAGACCCTCTCTGAAAAACAGACTAAAAAGGATGAGGGCTGTGGCTTAGGTGATAGAGCCCCTGGCAGCAAACTCAAGGCCCCCGAGCTCAGTGCCCGGTACTGCCAAGAAAGAGAGCTGTCAGATTGGTGGTGTAGCTCAGTGTAGAGAACACGCCTAGAGGGCGCGAGGGCCTGGGCTCCATGCCAGCAGCATGGATGACCCCATGTGACCCCTCCCTGGTGCAGTGACTGCTTTTCAAGTCCCAGCAACGATTCCGGGATGGTGCCAGCCCAAGGGGACCTCAGCCCTGCCCTTTCAGAGCTCACAGAGGAACCCCATTAAAAAGCTGGCCCTGCAGTGGGGTCTCTGTGGCCACTAGGGAGGTGACCTGCCACTGTCCAGCATCTCAGTAAGGTGTCCCGTTTCCTCTGCAGGGAGGAAATTCAAACCCTGACCAACAAATGTCAAGAATTGGAAGAAAGCAAGAGAGAAGAGAGAGCACCTCGGTCAGACGTTAAGAGAGAGGAGAGAGGCAGCGCCGTGGACGTGGCTCCCGAGGTAGAGTGTGACCTATCTCTCTTCTGTTGGGCGTGACGTGGCTCACAGCTGGTGTCTTCGTGCCCAGTTTCTCCTGGCCATCCTGTGATGGTCCAGTGTCTTGTGACCCTCGCGGTGCTTTCTGTACCCAGGTGGTGTGTGTGGAGGGTCCGCGGTTCTGGATGAGCCAAGGTCAGGTAATTGACCTCTCTGCCTGGGGCTGGGCTGACCACTGAGGTGTGGGAGCCACAAGAAGGGAGGGTAACCAAAGAGGCCCGGGTACCCTCCCATTCATCCCTGAGCTATCTGGTGAGGACCTGGTGACTGTCCCTCCTCTCCTCCTTTGGAAAGAAGCCACAGGAGGCCGTGGTGAGTCCCTGGCCCTTCTCTGCCCCCAGGGCGACCAGGCAGCTTCCTACATGGAAACTTAAGACTCGGTGTCCCACACCCGTGTGGCCCTTTGTTCTGAAAGGTCCTGCCTCGTGAACAGATGGTAGATAAGCCATGCAGGCCGGGCATGCTGGTGCACGCCTGTAATCCCAGCACTTAGAAGGTGCAGGCAGGATCTGGGGCTCAGCCTGGGCTACAGAGCAAGACCTGTCTCAAAACAAAGAAATGAGCTGGGGCGTGCTTCAGTGTAGAGCAATGCCTGAGAAAAAAAAAAAAGACAAGCAAAAGAAAAAAGCCCAGCGTGGTCCTGGGGTCCAGCAGGAGCACTGGCAGAGGTGGTGAGCTCCGCCCTCCCCGTGGTGCTGTTCAGAGCCTCCAAGTCCCCACAGTAGCTGGAAGTCACCCGTGGCCCCCGGCAGGTGGGTGGCAGCTGTAGGTGGCTGAACATGACAGGGTTTTGGTTGCTCAGTGTGGGCTGACTGTCCTTCGCCGGGTTTGGATTTTAAAGGCCTCCCCTTTCAAGCAGGTAGGCCATTTTCAGTTACCATGGCGACAAGCCACAGTGCTGCAGTCTCTGTGTCCCCCAGGTGCTATGGTGACCTGCATCCTGGTGCCCCTGCTGGTGGCCTGAGGGTTGATGGGAGGGCATCTGGCTCCACAGCCATCTTGACTGTATCTGTCTGTGTCTGTGTCTGTCTGTCTGTGTGCCTGTGTCTGTGTCTGTCATCGTGGGGTTTCAGGCACTTGGGCTGATGTTCTAAGTGACCTAAGCTGTGTCCCCTGTCTCCAGACAGTCTGCCACTCTCCACTGGACCTTCACTTTGGTGGTCCACGCAGCCTGCACTGAGGGTCACTCCTACCCAGGTGACATGCTGTGGCATCCAGGGTGACAGGCAGGGCTGGAGTGTCCCCGGAGTCCTGGTCACTCAGGGCGGGGTAAAATCTTTTCCAAGTGAGGTGCTGGCAGGTACCTGGGCGTCGTCAGGGCCTGTGAACTTGTCACCTGCTGCTCCTGGTCACCCTGCCAGGCGCTCAGTGGTGAAGGATTGGGGCCACTCCTTTCTGAACATCCTACTCAGGGTCGTGCCATGGGGACAGTTGGTGGCTTGGCTGGCACTGAGGGCCCACCTGTGGTGTCCTTAACATCGTGATCTGTAGACTTCTGCCCATCCACAGGTGCCCCCCTGACTGTGCTGGCCACCTGCAGGGCTGTCACAGGCTGCCACCCTTTTCTTTCAGGATCCCTTTTTCTTATTACTACTTTAAATGTGTTCAGTTTTGTTTTGTGAGACAGACAAGGTCTCATTATGCAGCCCAGGCTGGCCTCAAACTTGTGATCCTCCTGCCTCCACCTCCCAAGTGCCGGGATTACAGGTGTGCACCACCACGCCTGGCTGAAATTTAGATTTTTTTTTAGCTGTCTGGCAAGAACTGTTGGACTCAGTTCCCTCCATCCTTTGAGTGCCCACCTTCACTTTTTTGGTCACATCAGCCACATGTGACATTTCTCTTTGGTAGAGCAAAAATGTATGAAGGTGGAGGGCAGGCGGTGAGACCCTTCTGTGGGGACAAACCCAGGATGTCACAACTTAGTGTCGGCACGTGCACACCAGTACCTTGGTGAGGAATCTGATGGCAGCGACTGCCAAGTGTCCCAGGATCTGTCTGACGAGGTCTGGTGAGACCCGCAGACACAGAGATGAGGGCCAAGAGGGAGAAGCCTGCCTAATCCCACGTGCCTCCTGGGTGGCAGGTACCACACAGGCCACACAGAGACGACAGGGTCAGGCAGGAGGCGGGGACGGCAGGGACCAGGGCCTTGCACTGAGCAGGATGGTCACAGCCCACAGTGCTGAGGAGGCCCAGGACTGGCTCCTTTGAACGGCCTTGGTCACTCCGGGTGCAGAGATGTCCTAGCTTCTGGGTACCAGGCCCTGGGCAGAGGCCGGGTCACTAGCTGGGTGTGTGAGGGTTCCACAGGAGGTGGGTGCCATGGTTGAGCTGGGTGGCTGCACAGGAGAGCCCTTTCAGTACCCGGGCAGCAGCCAGCCCTAGGGAGGCCCACGTGTCCACTCCGGTTAACTACAGAAAACAAGAGCTTGGTTTCCACCTGGCTGCGTTGTGGCGGTCACCTGTGCTGGGCGCCGCCCCTGTCTGCACCCACTGAGCTGCCCTTTCTCTGTGTGTGGTGCTGCGAGGTGAACTCGGGGCTCTGAGGGTGCACAGCTCTACTGTGTCCCGAGCTTGCCTTTTTCATGTGAGAAAAATAGTATTTTATCTTTACGAGAAGAGTCCTTGTGATGATAACTTGCCCGCTAGGTTGTAGAAGCCAGTGGCATTTCAGTGTCACGATAGCAGTTACCGCTTCTTTGTACCAGAAATCACACTGGACACTGGACACGCCTTGCCTTTGATTCAGAAACCTCGTTTTCGTAAGGTAGAATCAAACTTTAAAAAGGCCCAAAACACCAGGCTGGGCGTAGCAGCTCACACCTGCAATCCCAGCTTCTTGGGAGGTTGTGGAGATTGGGAAGGTGGCGGTCAAGGCCAGTTTAGGCAAAAGCCAGCAAGCCGGGCGTGCGACACTGTGATCCAGCTCTATGGGAGGCACAAATAGGAGGATCGCCATGCCGGCCTGCTGTGGCAAAAATGCGACATCCTGTCCGAAGGTAATGCTAATGGGCTTTGGTGTGTGTGTGCCTGGCCGCGAGTTCAAACTCCGCGTACGTAACGCTTGAGCCCTGTGCTGTTGGGGGCCCTCGTCCTGGGAGGCACGCGTGCTCAGGAGAGCTCTCGGCCAGGAGGGACGGTTCCACGTCCCCTGACCTAATGAGTCTGGTCCTCGTCTGAGGCCTGACAGCCATCTTTCCGCAGCCGCCTTAGGCCTTGCGTTTCCTGCAGGCCCCCGGAGAGCCCCGCACGCCCTTGCCCTGCAGCGAGCTCCCGCAGCCCGACTTGGAGCCGGATTCCCACAGCAAGGATGGCCCAGGCCCCTGGCCCCTGCCCCGACTGGAGGAGAGAGGCTGCCGCCAGGACCCTGCAGGCCCGGTGGAAGGCGCACCAACAGCAGGTGGCACTGCGACTCTGGTCTCTGTCCTGCAGGGGGGAGGGCAGCGAGCAGCCGAGCGCCTCTCGTGTGCACCATGAGCTCCCAGCCCTTGTGGCAGGCGAGGTTGAGGCCCGAGGCCCAAGACTGTGCTGAGGAACTCGGGTTTCTCGGCTGGGGGCCTGACTCACGGCATAGAGCATCTGTCTAGCAATTGTGAGGCTCTGAGTTCAAATTCCAGTGCCACCGGAAAAAAAATTTCATCTTTCTCACGTTCATTCACTTTTTCTTTCTCTCTTTCAGAAAAAGGCTGTTCTGGACGAGGTAAGAATGTTAATGCCACCAATTTCAAAAGACTTGTTCTTACTGGGCAGTAAAATAACTGATGGGTATTTAAGCACACACCACTGGTCCTGATTATCAGGCAATCAAACCAAACCTTGACATTAAGCTCAAAATACATAAGTTGTAGAAGCATCAAAAGAATATTTGAGGAATTTCACACTTTCTAAATTCACGCACTCAGGGCCAGGCGTGGTGGTGCACGCCTGTAATCCTCGCTTTTGGGAGGCAGGAGAATCATGGTCCAAGGCCAACCCAGGCAAAAGCACAAGTCCCTACCTCAAAAACAAACTGAACGCAAAAGGCCTGCGGTGCGGCTCCCATGGTAGAGCGCCTGCCCAGCAAGCACTGTGCCCTGAGTGCAAATGTCATTCCTTAACACCTGCACCCATACCCACTGTCAGTCCTGTGTCTGACCGTCTGAGGGTCACCGTCACCCAGACGCCTGTCAGGCGGCACGAGGGCGAGGGTGGAGGTCCCTGGGGGGGCCTGGGGAGGGAGCACGGGGCATCGTGGGCGGGACGGTGGCGGCAGGAGGAGGCTCGGCAGACTGGTGGCTGGGGAGGATCGGAGCCAGGTCACAGGGGTCCTTGGAGCAGCCAAGAGAGGAGGGATTTTCTACAGAGCATTCTGAGTCACCGCCTTGTGCCCTGGAGGCGCAAAGACCTGAAGCTTCTCGCTCAGGTCCTGGAGGCCTCGGCCTCCCGCTGGCTCCTCCTGACCCCGCTGGGCAGTGAGTTTGTGTTGGTCACAGGGAAGCTCTGGGGGCTTGGATCTCCTCACCACCTTTCTCCTGCCACCAAGCTCTGGCTGCTCTGGCTGACCCGATGGCCTGGGTGACCTGTGCACTGCCCAGCCCCCTGGGACAGGCAGGGCCAGAGCTCGGCCTTGGCCAGTGCTGACCTCCTGCCCTGCTCTCTGCCTTAACCTGGGCTCCTTGGTCATTCACCCAGTGCTGACCGGGCCCAAGGCTTCCGGGAAGACAGTCCAGCATTTGTGTCCAGTGACAGTGGCACTAGTTGCCTTCGCCAGTGTGTTCTATCATGCCAACCTGAGCAAGGTCCCCTGCTTACCGCTGGCCTGTCCTCAGCCTCGGGTCCCTTGGCCCCCTTCAGGAGCCACCTGGGTCAGTCTTGGCCTCCCCACCCCACCTGCCCCACCTCTTGCTGCTTTCCAGCCCCCAGGTGCCACCCTCGTCCTCTCCAGCTGCTGTGGCCATTTCAGGTCCCACTGTCCAACCTGCCCTCCCTCCACCCCACACCCATGCCCTGCTGGTCACCTTGCTGTTGACTCTGAGAGGTGTGATTAGCAGACCTTCCAGCTGTGGCGAGGAGCCGCCTCATCTCTGGGGTGGCCACAGTCAGGAGCGACAGTACCACGTGGGACGCAGAGGCAGGACGACCGCATAGCGAGACCCTGTGTCAAAGCAACAAAAAGCCAGCAGTGCCAAGAGGGGCTGGAGAGCAAGGAGCGCTCGTGCTGTGCCCCTGGCGATGGACAGACCGTAGCCACCAGGAAGCTCACTGGTCATCACCACATGGCCAGCCACTCCTGTCCCAGGTGCTCGCAAAGGAGCCACACTACTCCTTCCAGCACTGCCATGACGGCCAGAGGCGGAAGCCGCCCTGGGCCCCTCGCCCAGCAAGTGGACGGGCAGCGTGGTCTGTCCACACAGCGGGGAGTGGTGAACCCTGCAAATGCACCAACTGAAGAATACCAGCAAAGGCCGCGCTGTGACTGGTGATGGAAGTGTCCCAGACAGGTGACCTGTGGGGACAGAAGGACCAGGGAGAAACGGCTAAGGGCTCAGGGTTCCTGTTTAGGATAATGAAAATGTGACAACTGCCCCACACAGAGCAGAACCAGTGCTGCCGACTACAGCATGGCCACCGTGCTGACCTGGATGTCTGCTTCACTGCTAACAGAGCTTGCGGCTAAGGCCGAGACTCAAGGAGAGCGCCTGCCTAGCAAGTGCAAGGCCCTGCGTTCAAATCCCAGTACCACAAGGAAAAAGTCACTTGAGGTGTAGTGGTGCACACCTGTAATCCCGGCACTAGGGAGGTTGAGCAGGAGGATCTTGAGTTGCAGGTCAGCCTGGGCTACATAGGCACACCCTGTTTCAAAAAACGCAAACAAACTTCAGAATATAAAAGGGAGGGAGAGAGAGAGGCTGTCCTCTTCCTCTGCTCCCGAAGTCTGACCACGTCCATGTTCTTGTGGAAAACTTCCACCTTTGGGGACATTGGAGCTGCCACACACGGCAGCCCAGGGCTGCTCGATCCCTCCCCGCTGAATGGCTCCCATCAAGACTGCAGGCATGGGACGCAGGCCCTGGACCTGCTCTGCTACCTGTTGTCACCCTGCAGGTCCTCGGCTCCCTCTAAGACCAGCCGTCCCGGCAGTGTCCTCAGCCACAAACCCAGTGGCCATCCAGTCTTCGCCTTGCCAGGAAGCCCAAGACTCACCACAATCTCCTCGTTGAGGCACCGCTGTGCTCGGGTCCCTCCTGGGTCCCTCCCTCCATGTCTGACTGCTGGGGACCATCCTGGGACCATGGTGCAGGTCAGCATGGGTCAGCAGCCCCATGCTGGCTGCTGGGGATGACAGGACAGTGACCCCTGGTGCATCTGCCTCAGGGCAACAGACTGGAGCTTGTGAAGGCACAGTCATTCTGGCCTGCCACCTGTGTCCGCACCGTGACCTCAGATAGGCCTGAACCCCAGTGCCAGCCTCCACAGACTCAGAACTGCTGCCTGGGCCACCCTACGCTGAGAGGGGAGGTCTCAGCCTCTCCTGTACCTGTTGTCCCCTGTGATGACCATCTTCCGCCACCAGGCAGGACAAGGCCAAGTTGAAATCTCGCTTGGGTTCTTATCATCCCTGCAGCCCAGCACAACCCATGGCTGCCGGAATCCGGCCTTTTCTGGGCTGCGGTCCTCCTGGTGGCCGGGACCCATCTCCTCGTAACCCTCTTGCTTCCTCTTCGCCCTCCTACAGCTGACCCCTCGCAGCTGACCGTTCGTGCTGGCCGTCACCCTCAGCCCCAGCGTCCCTCCAGCAACCTCCCTGCAGCCCTGGGCCGTGGCATAAGCTGCGCCTTCACCTGGAGGGCGCATCCCCGGTGCTCACGCGTCCTGCTTTGTTCAGGCTTCTGCTGGAGGCCTTTGCTTTCTTCCCAGCATGGACAGGGGACCCTGCCATCTTCCCCACCCTGTCCCTAGAATCTGGAACAGTGCCTGGCCTGTGGTAGGGTTCAGGGTGTGCTTGTTTGGGTTTTTTTTAAACGTAGGACACCTTGCTTGCAAAGCAGGCCCTCTACCACTTGAGCCACACCTCCGGTCCATTTTGCTCTGGTGATTTTGGAGATGGGTCTCACAAACAAATCTGCCCAGGCTGGCCTCAAACCTTGATCCTCTCACCCTCCTAAGTAGCTGGGATTACAGGTGTGAACACTGGTCAGTGTTGTCTTACGGAACGTGTGAATGAAGCACTGAACTCCGCCATGGACGGGACAGACCAGCAGCATGCAGGCAGCGTGGTCACCACCTTGTCCACTTTTCCTGTCCTGTCCCCTCCCACCCAGCTGCAGTGTCATCTCTGAGTGACAGGTGACAGTAAGGTCTAGATTTAGCATGCGGAGGGTCGGCCTCATTTCAGCTCCCGCTCCGACCGCAGCGGTCACCGAGGCAAGCACGGCTCCACTGCCAGCCTTTGGGTGGGCTGTGTGGTTCTCACTCCTCCAGGCGGCCCCGGCTGTCACAGCGGCCCCCCACCTGTGGGGCCTCGACCTCCAAGCCCCATCCCCGACCTTTGGCCTCTTTTGTTCTGTGTTTTTTCCCCAATATTGGGATTTGAACTCAGGGCCTAACCCCTTTTCTGCTTTAGTTATTTTTAAGGTAGGGCCTCCTTCGTTTGCCCAGAACCAGCCTCTGACAGTGACTTTCCTGCCTATGACTCCCAAGTGTCTGAAATTAGAGGTGCACACTACCATGACAACTTAATATTGAGACAGGGTCTCGACAACTTTTTCCCCAGGCTGACCTCGAACCCAGATCCTCCTGCTCTCCACCTTCAGAGTAGCTGGGATTACAGGCGTGAGCAACTGTGCCCAGCTCCTGGTTCCTTAACTTGTTTCTCGGTTTCCTTATTCATGGCGTTCCTTTCCCCTGCCTTTGAGAAAAAATGAGGTGTTTCAGACAGTTTCACAGAAGTGGCTGGACCACTCAACTCACGTGAGGTCAGGGCTCTGCGCTTGCTTGTCACTTGTCGTTCTCTACCATGCTGGAGGTGGCAGGTCCTCTGCCGAGCCTGAAAGGTTTAAGCCTGGGCAAGAGGCGGAGGGTTTCCCCTACAACATGGAGTGTGGATTTCATGCATTACTGACACAGCCATGGGAGACCAGGGTCAGAGGGTAAACAGTTCCCTTTGGGTGTCCCTAGAGCTCTCACATGGCTTTAAGATGTCTGTGATGCAGTGACAACCCCTGCGCGAGAGTGGCACACAGCACCAAATGGAACCACAGGCTCCATGGTTGTCCAGGCAGCAGGTGTTGTTGCCTTTCTCCCTGAGGGGCCTGGTGCCTCTCACCTTGGGGAGCCAGAGGGAGAGAGCCTCTGGGATACCCATACTGATGCATCAGTGCTCAACAGTTTTCTAGACTTTCCCTTAATCTCTGCCCTCTTCCTCCTCTTCCTCTCCTGCCAGGCGGCCGTGGTGCTTCAGGCAGCCTTCCGGGGACATCTAGCCCGAGCCAGGCTGTTATCAGGCAAAGCCCGTGGTTCCTCCCCTCCGTGCCCACCGGGCGTCCCAGAACAGGTAATCCCCCGGTGGTTGAACACAAGCCTGGTCACTCTGGCCGCTCCCTCTCAGGACTCCCCCCACTTCAGCCACCAAGACAAGCTCAGGCACTTTGCTGGCCTTAACCTGGCTAGGCAGGTGTGCCCTGTGCTCCATCCTGCGGCCTGGGGAAGCCCCGCGGTGGTGCCTCTGACATGGCCTTGGGCTGACTCAGCTTTAGCGGCCGGGTTGCTTCGTGTTCTGGGAGTCGAGTGGCACGAGCTGGGAATTCAAACATTTGTGCTTCCCAGATGAGATAATGTCCCAGCCAGGCACAGTTTCTCACACCTATAATCCCAGCACTCAGGATGCTGAGGCAGAACAGTCATGGGTTCCAGGCTGCATAGCCTGACCCTGTGTCAAAGCTAAAAACAGAGTCTTGGGGAGTTTAAAATAAAGATCCTCCAGTGAAGAGGGCCTGGCGCTCGGGTGCCATGCCTGGGCCGGCCAGGGTTGCCACCGTCTGTCTGTTGCACGCAGAGCTCTTCCCCGTCCTGCATCCCAAGCCCGGCGTCCCAGGCCAAGGGCAACCCAGAACAGGAAGAGGTCATCACTATCATCCAGTCTGTCTTCCGGGGATTCCTGGCCCGGGCCAGGTACAGGTGAGTGGAAGCCACGGGCACCTCAGTGCTAGGCCTCAGGGGAATGTCCAGTGCAGGGCAGCCTGGGCGCCAGGCCACCTGCTGTTGGGAGCTGGAACCGGCCACTCACCAGGGCAAGCCTTGGGAAAATTACTTCCTCACCGTGGACAGGGCACTAGCTGCAGGCTCAGGCCCTGGGGAGGCCTTTCTAGAAGGGTTGTGGACACTGTGTCAACTGGGTTCATTCATTGCTCCTTTCTTAAAGAAAGCAGCGCCGGGTACCCTGGCAAACGCCTTTGACCCCAGGTACTTGGGAGGTGGAAATGGGGAGGATCACAGTTTGAGGCCAGCCTGAGCAAAATGTTAGCGAGTCCCCATCTCAACCAATAAAAATAAAAGCTGGGTGTGGTGGTGCACCCCTGTCATCCCAGCTACACGGAAAGTGTGAGTAGGATTGCGGTCCAGGTCAGCCCTACCTAAAAAGCAACTGAAGCAAATGCCTGGGGCCTGGCTCAAGTGGTAGAGCGCCTGCCTGGCAAGTGTGAGGCCCTGAGTTCAAACCCCAGCACTGCAAAGAAAGAAAAAGAAGCCCTCCACAGCCCCGCTCAGGCTCTCCTGAGGCAGCAGCAGGGGGTCCCTCTGGTCTCCCCGGGCAGGAGCAGGAAGTGCAGGCTCGTCCCCAGCCCCTCACTCCTCCCTCTGCCACATCGACTCCTCTTCTTGGCCCACAAGGCAGAAATGGTGCCCACGGGCAGGAGAACCGGGCCACATCCAAATCTGCTCCTGATCCTGCATGACATGGGACAGACCTGGCTCCTGGTCTGGGAGGTCTGTGTTCTTCCATCCTCTGACTGAGCTGGGCTTTCTTCCTTCCAGTGCCACCAGCACAGGGACAGCCACCGCTGCATCTCCGAGTACAGCCGCTGAAGTCTCACGCCCAGCGCCCTCCCCGGCCCCCCTCGTAGCGTCTCCTGGTAATTCTGATTCTGGCGCAAGGGCTGCTGGCCCTGAGGCCACCTTCTGGCCACATGGGGCTGAGTAAGGACACCAGGAGGTTCATTGTGCCGTAGCTGCCCCGCCCTGGGCCACACCTCACTCTGGCCCTGTCCTCGCCACTGTGGCTGCAGGCACCCAGTCCCAGCTTCTGGCCTTGGTGTCTGTATTCCTGGCTCCGAGCTGACCTGGGCCCCTGCCTCTCCTGTTTAGTGACTGTCCTATTCCCTTTGCTGTGTCATTAAAGCCCAAAGGCCCTTGGTGAAGAGACCTGGCCGGATGGGATACCATCCCCAGCTGAGGTCCAGTCCCCTCCCCGTCCACCCTGAGTGGTGACCCCGCAGGCTCCTGTCTTGCCTCTGGACACCTCTCTCCCAAGCAGCTCGCAAGTCACCCCCGCCCTAGAAGCTGCAGTTCTGTGAATGACCCTTCACCTTCCACTCACTCAGAGAGCCCTCCCCCTCGCTGTGGCTGTCCCCCTCGAGCTGCAGGTGAGCAAGAGGGCAGGTGCAGACAGGGACTGTCACTAGACAGCTTCTGCATGAGAGTGTGGCCTGCAGGCCACCACATCACCAGACACCTTGCGGGGAAGTTTCTGTGCTGAGCTCCTTGGGCACAGAGGTGACCCAGGGAAAGATGGGTGAGGACAGACACTAGCCTACTGTCAGAGGGACAGGTGACAGGCGGTGACAGGTGCTGCCCAGGACTGACTTGATGCTGAGTGGGGTCCGATTGTATGTCCTTCCAGATAAGGACAGCAAAGCAAGTGGCGATGAGGCTGTGGAGCTGGAGGACAAGGACGAACCCAGGGAGACAGCAGGCCCACAGCTGCGCTCTGGTAAGTGGGGATGGCGCCTCTCCGAGCAGTCACCCTGTTCTCTGATGGCACAAGAGTTACACAGTTAATGAAGTCACGACTTGCCCCGATCCTGCCTGCCCTCGACCTGGCCGTCCCTCTGCATGGGCCTGGCCCTTCCCTTCCCAGAAACCCCGTCAGAGCCCAAATTGGAGAACCTCTGTCACTCTATGTTGGCTTGGACGTCACATTTGAAATCGTTTTTGTCCACTTCAGCCATTCGTTTTCTAGCTTTGTCAGAGCAGGGACACTGGGAATTTTGACATTCTCTCCAGACTCTCCTCTGCAAAACTCAGGGAACAAGGACCAGCAGCTCTGGGGTTGCAGGGAAAGCGCACAGGCGCTGGAGCCCCAAAAGCCCTAGCCAGCCGGCAGCCCCTAGTGCCCCAAAAGGCTTTGGGATGCTCTCCAAAAGCCCAGTTCCTGCTGACTCACCAGATGCCATGTCTGGTGACATTTGTGTTTGTTTGGTCAGGGCTGAAGTGGCTGCATGCCGCCCTTCCTCCTCTTGTCAAACGTGAGGGATTTAAAGGACAGTCATCCACCTGTCACCCACCTTGGCAAAGGTGCCAGCACACATGGAGCAGGTGGCTCCGCCCCAGTGACTCAGAGCACTTTGTGTTGCTGCTTGTTTGTTGGGAGCTTGTTTGTTTTATTTTGGGTTTTCTTTGGTGGGACTGGAGTTTGAGCTCAGAACTTCACACTTGCAAAGCAGGCGCTCTACCGCTTGAGCCAGGCCTCCAGTCCATTTTGCTGTGGTTATTTTTTTATTATAAATTTTATATTAGTATATATTTGTCATACAGGAGCTCTGGTTATTTGTTTTGGAGATGGGGTCTTGTGAACTGTTTGCCCCGCTGGCCCAAGTAGAAAAGATTACAGGTGTGAGCCACTGGCACCAGCTGTTTTTTGGGTTTTTGAGGTAAGATCTTAACTGTGTAGCCCAGGCTGGCCTCAGACTCAAGATCCTCCTACCTGAGCCTCCTGAGTGCTGGGATTACAGGTGTGCACAGGACCATTGGTGAGCAGGTTGTGTTTTTAAAGACAAAAAATGGGTCAAGTGTAGTGGCTTATGCCTGTAATCTCAGCTACTCAGGAGGCAGAGATCAGGAGGATCATGGTTCGAAGCCATCCTAACCTTTTTGAGACCCAATCTCGAAAAAAAACCTTCACAGAAGTAGTGATGGAGTTGTCAAGGTGAAGGCCCTGAGTTCAAACCCCAGTACTGTCAAATGAAAATGACCTTGAAACTGATGTTCTTAGTCTCCGAGGTCCCACTTAGGAGTTTTTTGGAGGTTGCTAGGATAGGGCTGGTGCAGTTACGCTGTCCGCTGGGTGGTGCAATTATAATTCGCTTTTTCAGAATCCCAAATCTGCGACGAGTTTCTGTCTGCCTCAGCCTCAGCAGGGAGCTCTTGGCCCTCACCGGGCAGGCCCCGCCTCGTCCTGCCCGCTCACCTGGCCTGGCACGAGGCCCGGGAGCTGCACCTGCAGCGGGGAGCCGGCTCCTACGCGCTGTGTGAGTGTGGCACCAGCCCAGGTCCAGATTCCCTGTGCCAGTAGGTTTTTTTCTTTTTAGGCTGTACTGGGGTTTGAACTCAGGGCCTCAAGCTTGCTAGGCAGGTGCTCTACCACTTGAGCACCAGCCCTTTTTTGTGGTGTGTTTTTTGAGATAGGTTCTCACAAACTATTTGCCCAGGTTGGCTTCAAGCCACGATCCTCCTGGCCTCTGCCTCCTGAGTAGCTGGGATTACAGGCGTGAGCACCAGCGCCTGGCTGTGCCAGTGTTCTGATCTCAGGAAACCGTCAGTTACTCAGAGCTGGGAGATGGCGTGTGGGTCCCTTGTGAACCCCAGGTCTGAAGCCCTGCCCGGGGCTTGCTGCTTTGGGGGCCTTGGTCTTGCCTGCTGTGGAGCTGCTGATAGTGTGTGTCCGGGCAGGCAGTCCCCCGCTCTGTCGCCCACACTGCTGACCCACTCTGGTTCATTTCAGCAGAGCCCTCTCCCCTGGGGCTGCAGCCCGTGGTGTCCCCTCCTGTGGACGAAATCAACTCTGATGACTCTGACGACATAATCGTGGCGCCATCTTCACCCGCGAGGAAAAACCCTCTCCCTCCCCGGCCCTAAGCATTGTCTCCAGATGGCGACAGCACCCCGGCAGGATCGGCAGGATCGCAGGATTGGGTCAAAGGACTTCAAAGGACGAAGCCTGCTCTTGAGGACTTGCTAACGAAATTGGAAAGATAATTTATCTTGCTAGGGAGGGAACAAAACCTCCAAACCCCAGCGTCCTCGTGGCTTCCCTCCTTCATTGTGCCTTCTGTCCCCCTGACGGCCTTTGTGTCCCTCTTTGGAGGAGGCCAAGTGGCCACCTCAGTGCTGACAGGCACGTCTGTCTACCCTGAATTGAGGGCGGCAGGCAGCCCTACCAAGATGGCAGACTTACTGCCTGACCTCCACCTTGACCTTGACCTTGACCTCTGAGGAGCTGCCTTGTCAGGAGCCTGGCTGTGCCTTTGCCCCATGGGGCCCAGAGATGATTCCAGTGCCTTTTGGGGGAGTGAGCCAGGCTCCCCACCCCGTCCCGACAGCAGAAGGCAGTCACTTCCCACGGCCCTGTCCCCTGTCTTCTGTCCCCTCACTCCCCTGTGCTGCCATAGCCACCCCTCCTAGGAAGGACCGAGGGGGTCTGGGAAGACGGGATGGGGTGAAGAGGCGGGCAGGTTCGCTGGTCACCCCAGGCACGGAGTCTCCGGTTGGGGGTAAGGTCTGTTTTGGATGCAGGGACAGGCCCTGTCACCTGGGTGTGGGAGGCCCCAAGGGCACCAGAGCCACCTGGCCCTCCAGGAGATGGCCAGTGGAGGTGTCTGGCTCCACTGAGGAGCTGTGTAGTTTCAGTTTCTCACTTGTCTGAGATTAGCCAACGGGCAAAAATAAGAGGCCCCAGGTTTGCAGGTTCAAGGGCGTGCAGGCCACCACATAGCCAGGCCTGCTCCCGGGTCTTCTCTGCAGAGTCCCTGTGGGACTGGTGGGCCGGCCTCCTCGTCCACTCGGGACTGGGGACGTCTCGCCTGGTACTGGCTGTCTTGGGAGAGACCTGAGGCTGGAGGACCCCTTGGATGGACATGATGGGTTCCTGAGGTTTCGCCCCTAGGGAGAGTCTAAGCCCTCGGCTCCCCTTCGCCACAAAGGTCCCTGATGGCTGTCTTGTTATTTAGCCTCGGGCAGGTGGCTGGACTTGGTGGCCAGGAAGGGGAACTCTGACTTGTCCACCTGACTGTAGGGACAGTGAGGGAGCTCCTGGCCCTGGGATGGGACCCAGAGCAGCTGAAGGACTTGCCTTGCCACATGGGTCACTGCCCGGCCCTTCCTCCGCTGAAGCTGAGGCTGGTTCGGGTCTTTTCTGTTCTGGGTGCTCTGTGTCACCCAGTCCGTTTTCTGACTTAACTCACCTTTGGGCTGGCGTGAGTCGTCCCCCACTCCCCCGGCTTCCTGCACGTTTCCCCTCTGCTCTGTTCCCTGTGACCTGTGCCATCCCTCATGGGTCCAGGTACATTGTGAAAGCACAAGAGGCCTCCGGGGCACCGTGAGCTGGGCTGAGGGGTCCTCGGTTCTGTCTTGGGGTGACCGCACCCCTTAACAGAGGTGTCTCTGCATGGCATTCTCCCAGGACAGCACCTGGAGTTAGTTCTGGGGGTTGGAGGAAGTTTTTCATGGGACACCCTTGCCTCACACTTGGAAGCGCTTCTGCCAGGAGGGTTGCTGGGGGACAGTGCCCATCCCAGGCCCTGTGCACCTGACCTGCAGGGGCCCGGCCAAAGGGCGGAGTGGGGTCAAGGTCAGCCCCGGAATTGTTCTCCTGACTTGTAAAATGTAGTCTTTCCTCTGCTCTATTAAAAGCAAACAGTCTGATGCTACCTCAAGCCTGTGTCTTCCGCTGTGTCCAGTGTCCGGTGCTGGTCACCCAGGTCCCTCCACTGGGACAGCCTGGTCGACTGCTTTGCCACAGAGAAAACATGGGGCGAGTGTCACCAGAGGTGTGGAGACCTGGGTCTAGTGCTGCTGGCGTCAGCAGGAGGGACTGGGCAGGTTGGCCTTGAACTTGGTGTTCCTCTGATGGTGCTGCACCACAAGACAGGACCCTTGTTGCTGGGCTTGGTGGGGTTGGTGCCCTGTCCCCACACCTGGCCATCCAGCTGGGGTGTGGGTGGAGCTGTGAGGGGCGGGGCCAGTGGGTGGGGTGGAGCTGTGAGGGGCGGGACCGGTGGGGTGTGGGCGGGGCCAGTGGGTGGGGTGGAGCTGTGAGGGGCGGGACCGGTGGGGTGTGGGCGGGGCCAGTGGGTGGGGTGGAGCTGTGAGGGGCGGGACCGGTGGGGTGTGGGCGGGGCCAGTGGGTGGGGTGGAGCTGTGAGGGGAGGGACTGGTGGGGTGTGGGCGGGGCC